CTAGTGTATATTGCAGACTACCCTAGTTAATTAATATTATTTAAATAGTGGTTATGGTTATCTACCTCTCCTGTGTATATTATCTCAGACTTTTATATAAATATTTTAATTAATTATTATTTATATTCTTAATTCTGCCTCCAGATCTTCTCAATGGCTGATGTGAGAATATCTGCTAACTTTAAGTATTATAGTATTTTCTTAGGTTTTTTTATTACTGATAAAATCTGGTCAGGCTTCTTTCTTTTTTATTTAGATAATATTATTATTTAAGACTGTCTTTCTCTTTCTCTGTTTAAAAATAATAATTAATGGTTTCTTAATTTATTTTTACTGCCTGTGTTTTAAGCTACTGGACCTACTCTCTGAAATATTTTTATTATTAGTTCAGAAGCCAGTTTTATTGCTCCCTGCTAGACAGTATATAATAGTACCAGTGATTATGAGCTAAAATACTCTCTAATGCAGGTTATCTTTCTATAATTTACACCTGTCCAGATATCTCTTACTTCTATGCATGAAATCACCTCGCGGGGTAGTATCATGAGTATTAGCAGTAGTAGTAGTGCTGATAGTAATTAATCTAGCTTTAGTATTTCCAGCTACAGTAGCAGTAATGGGAGCCTGGTAAATGGTTGTCAAGGGAGCTCCTGTCGGCCTTTATCTTAAGATTTTAAAGTAAATGAGCGTGAATAATATAAATGTGAGTATTTTGAGTATAGTCATGTGGCTGTTAATAAGTGCTGTAAGAAGAAGAAGAAGCATGTTAAGTAGCTAGAGAATTATTATAAAATAGTCTCGCGGGAGAATAAGCTCCTGGAAAATTAAATAGATTATCTGTAAAATAAAAATTTAAATCTTAAGAGTAAGCTGCTGTGACATTCTTACTGTAGAGATGAGAAGATTAAATATTATTTAATAAAAATAATAAAGTAGTTTTCTGATAAAACTGGCATAGCAGTTTATAATTTAGAGAAGAAAAAAGAGTTATTATCTCTAATAAAAAGTCTTAAGAAGAAGCAGGATATAATAATAAATATTAAGAATCTTATATAGTTTATGATTACTGCGGATGGCTTAGTAACAGAGAGGTAAAAAGATCCTGGATAAAGATTTAATTTTAAGATTATTAATAGTCTGTATATAATGACTTGTAGTGATATGATTAATATCTATATAATGAGGTGTTGTGGATATTTCTGTTTTTTTTCTTTTTTAATATTTTTATTTTTTATTTTTTTTATTATTTTTTTTTCTTTTTTTTTTTTTTATATTATTTTTTCTAGTTTTTTTTCTTTTCGGAGCTTCTTTCAGCATTATAATTATTAATAACAGTAAGAAGTGCTGTGTCTGAGCTAGATTATAGATATAATTAATAATAGCAGTAGCTAGCATACTTGGTAATTTTCCTGGGTATAATATAGCAAGAGATATTTTTCTGATAAAAATAAAGATTAGCTTTAATTTAATTATTTTAATTATATTATATTTTCAAGTAATTCCTTGAGGATGAATCTATTCAAGTATATTGACTATTATTATTATTTTTAATAATAACTGATTGAGTGGCTAATAGTATTCGTGATGGTATTACTTATTTAACTGAGATTATAATAATAATCACCTTCTAATACTTTAATATCTTTTTAAATATGTGTGCCATGCTGCTAAACTTAATTATTAATTAGAACAGTCTAATGTTGTAGTTTCTATACTGAATATATTTAACCTATACTTGACTAATAGTATAGTTTGATTTATATTATATAACAAATTCTTTCTCTTAACATGGCTGATTATAATATAACTGAGAATAGTAATAATTACTTTTTTAATATATTTTTATTAGTCTCCTGTTCTTTTTCTTAACTAGTCTCTTAAGTCTGGGGATCTCCTGGCTTAAAGCTTTCTCTATATGATATTTCTGTCCTTGTGGCCGGCTTCCCGGGCCTGTTATTTGTCAGGCTGGAAGCTACCACCGGAGGCTTGGCTGCTAATGGAGGTAATGTTATGCTGTTTACTTTGGTTAGAAGTTTATTCTGTAGAAGTAAGGAACAGGATGTTGAATTACTTATTTATTTTTATTTATAAGATAGATTCACTGGAGTGGCTAGATTAGCTATTTTTGCAGGCAATGTTTTAGACTTCTTTTGTAGGGGTGGTTGGCAGAGTTTCCGGGATTACTGGTGCTGAAATTAGAAGCTATTCTAATGGTTGTATTATAGTGTGTGTAGTGTGGAATATATGAGTATATAATAAGCTTTGGGACAGATCTTATTAATCAAGATAGGGAAAAAGTTTATAAATTTATGGTAGATGAATTGTAGGTCTTGCTTGGACTCTAGATAATAATATTTTATATTAGTTATTGGTTTACTATGACTACTTGCTAATGTCAATGTCAATGCAGTAACTATGACTGAGATTATTATATATATAATATAGCCAGGCTTGTTCCAAGTTTCGAGAAATTTCTTAAAGTACTGACTGTGCGGGTCTAAATAGTATATTTCTATGGGCAGGAATAAGGTATATTATTAGAGTGGGATTATTTAAAAAAATATAAAGAGATAAGTTTATATTCTTTTTCTCTTTATTATTTCTTCTCGAGAAAAGTATGGAAGGTTGAGTAAGTGGTTATTGTGATACTATTATGGATAGTCTGGGCTTGGTTAATAGTGGTATAGTAGTATTGTGCTTGCTGATTTATAGAGGATGCGGGTTATTAGTGGATCTAAGAGTAAGGTTATTGATTAATTAAATACTAGTATTTTAATGTGATCTTCCCCCGTGCAATTATCCTATAATAGAAGAGATGGAGATATCGCGGACAGACTACTATTCTTGTTAGTATTGGACAGCCGAGATGAGGATACGGTCTGGCCAGGGCCTCTAGATAGTATAGATAGAGGTGGGGCAGTTATACTCTAATAAGATAGATCTTGATCTGTGTATAAAGTCTTATTCCTTACTCCATGAGGAGGTTAGGAGTAATAAGAGTATTTGCTAATAAGTCTTGATTAAAGATATTCTCCATGACTGTTATTCTTAGGATATTACTATTAATATTAATATTATCTTATTCTTATCTGTTCTTAATTAAGCTGCTCCCCCAGTCCCTGGGTCTAAAAGTTAATCTGAACAGTCTTTCTATTACTTACCTGTTATCCAGCCGGGGGTTCTCTGGGGATTCTGAGTGGTAGGGTATTTTTGCCGGAACACAGGATAAGAGAGCCGTGGACTATGGGTAATCCCTGGTCTGTGTAATAAGCTATTATTGAGCTCTGGCTACTTAACATACTTGTGATTTGCTGGGGATATCATAGTATATAATTCCTGTTACTAATTATTGCTAAATTATATTATATAAATTTTATCTGATATTAGATCTTTTCTATGTTCTTTCTATAGATACTTTTTCAAATCAGAACTGGCCCTTACAAGACAAAAGATATAAGTAATAAAAGATATATGTGTAATGCTTAGAAAATATTATTAATAATATACTTCTAAATCCTCTTTCACCGGTCGCAGTTGATAAAATAATACCGAATAGTTATTTTAACAGTGGATCGGGCAGCTAGAATTATTATCATAGTAAATGTATGTGGGCTATCATGAATATTACATCACTGCTACTCTCTTTGTAATAGTATATCTATATGGTCATTTAAGTGCTCTTATTCTTTCTTTTACTGTTATTTACTTATTCTTGCTCATGACTCTCTTATCCTTTTATCTATTCAAGCCTTCTATTCATAGTGACCAACCTATTCTGTGCAAAGCACCGAATCTCTTGACCGTTGGCGGGTGGGATGAGCTCGTTAGATGCTTGGAGAATTGTCGGGCCGTTGCAGACCCGATGGCAGCTAGGAAGCTCCATGGAGAGCATACAAGTTGAGCGGGTGGAGGTGCATAGGAAGGGGTGGATGAACGATATCCCGTGGAATGATGAAACAGGAGGAATCACTGTCTGTGGGGCGACTGTCCGATTCGTCCACTTAGAACCGACGAGCAATCAGGCGTATCCCTCGAAAAAAGAAAGACCGATTGTCTTTCTGCATAATAATCCAAGCTGCAGCTATATGTGGAGAAATGTGCTAGTGTCCTCTTTCTCTATAGTCATGAAGCCGGGCTTGAAACTGACTACGAGCGTGATCCGGATTTAATGTAGACATTGCCTCCTTTATCTCAATAAGGACACGATGTCTACGCTTTGGATAGACTTCATTACGGCAGAAGTGATAAGATTCTGTGCCCTGAGAGAATCATATCTGAAGTCCGAATCTGCTATTTGATTCAGTTCTTCGAAGCCACTAGGATTACAAATGCAGTTCTAATTGCCCATGATTGGCGAGGGTAAGTATGGTATGGTTTTGCATCCGGTAATATAGAACATTAAATTCTAAAAGACAAGGCTTGAGCCCAAGACCGCCTGGCTGGCGTGGATCTTACGAAAGTTGTGACAAATGTAGATTCAAACAACTATACAATTCGAACCCTGTTGTTGCCTGTGCCTTGTTCTCGTAAACATATCCCGAACCTTGCGCAAGAAACCGGACCCAGTTCTCAAGTACATGCTGTGGTTTGATGGCGAACCTCGAAATCGAGACTGCGTCATAAAACATTCCCTAGGCGACCATACAGGATCTAATAAACCTCCACTGCACCTCTGACGATGATACTGATAACAATTGATAAGGCATACTGGATCTGCATAGACACAAAAATTGTCCCGTTAGTATTGACCTCTCCAACTGGAGCGAGGACACCCTACCGTCAAATCTTTGACTACTACGAAGGGAGAATCAAAAGCATTATTACATCATTGCGGACTTTATTTGGACCTACACACACAGCAAATGGAGGAGCACGTTCTTGGCACGCCTTGGATTTGGTACGACGGATGGGAATGCTCGTCCTCGTTTACTTGGTTGGCTTGATTCGACCAATCGTGCGCAGTTGTACGTGGAAGGTCATCATCTCGTAATGAGCTTTTGCTATCTGCTTGTCGTAGCAGCTTCGGCCGAATACGACAGAATATTCTTGATCAGAGCGCAGATGAGCAAGTAGCTCTGCGTCCGGCATACCGTATCTGACATATCTTCACCAGTCTCGAAGAATTCCTTCGAACTTCTTGTGCTCTTCAACGTCTGGGTAAAGAGCGCATCCCAATTGTGCTGCCGAATGTTACACGATGGCATTACCCAGCGCGGTAGCTTGAGAATTCTTGTGCCCGCTCCGCCAATACTTGGTGAGATCGAGATGGCAGCAATTCTCCAGACTACCGTGCCATTAGCAAGTAATTTTATAGAGGCGGCACCTAGTTCGAAAGATACATGAAGGTGAGAGCGTAAGTTTATGATTATCAATGCTGGGAAAACAGCTTGATGACTGGCCTAGACATGTTTTGATTGATGTCTCATGGACCCTTCCAAGGCACCGAGCACCGTCGCCAGGTCTGAACTGAGATCGGTGGACGATATGTTGTTCCACATAAAGGGAAAAACTAAGTAATAAATTTAGTATTGTGAATTTGGAACCTCACCCTCTGGACGACGTGAATTAGGCATCTGCAGGGTTCTACGAAGGGAGCTGAAGTCATGGCCATAGAAGCCAATGTCCCATCCAGCCAGAAGCTTAATCTGGCCACCAAGTCTACAATTAGCATCAGCATGCTATAAGTTACATGGCGGAGCTCAGAGTCGCGCTGGTCAACGGGAAAATGACGTGTAGCCGACACTCTCCTCGGCCATAATACCCGGCGCGAGTTCTTTCGGGAGGAGCGACACCACCAGATCCACGTGGGTTAGCCTGGTTCGGATAGAGTCCCACGCTCGAGATCGCGGCCTATTAGTACCCTCAAGCGAGTCGCCTTGGGGCTGGAGACTACTCCCAAAAATGACAGGCCGCTCAGGGTCTAGCTGTTTAGACAGTAGAGCCAATGTCAGAAGCGGCGCACTGTCAATGATTACTACGTCGACACCTCCTTCGTGGGGCCGAAGGGGCCCATTCGGACACAGACAGTCCCCCCTGACGTTGACTTGCGCAAAGTCGAGGATCAATAGCTCATCCTTGACAGTGATATCCGACGGTGTGTCACCCCAGTTTAGTCAACAGATGAAGTTATCACTCGATGGGGAATCTTAGTTTTAGGGAATATCCTCCAAACTAAGCTGAGTAAACCCGGGCTCATAACCTGTTGAAGTGAGAATAGATTGATTGATTGTTATTGCTACTTCTATCCTTACAGGGGCGGGATGCCTCATGTATATATATATCTCTGTTCCCAATCCCTGCTAATGTGACATCACGTGATATTCAACAGGGCGGGTTGGGGACCCCCGAAACCCAGCCTGGGTAACCCGTGGGCGGGTTCAGAAAATGAAAACCCAACCCAAACCGCGTTTTGGCGAGGTCTACTGAATATGTCAGGTCTTCTCCGATGTATGGTTCCAAAAGTGGAAGTTGAAAGGCCTCAAATTGCTCTGCCGAGTTCCATTTCCCTCAACCGGACAATGCCTACAGACATTCTCTGGCTGACCTGCATTGGCTTCCTACGAAATTTTATTGTAAAGGATACATACCTACACATTTCTACGAAGTGACCCGTGAGCAAGAAATTAAATAGCTCACAGAGCAGCCTCCCTATACGTCCGAACACCGACTGGTCGACGTCGCGATAATGTCTATAAAAGTGTCCCTATTGATGAAGTTGCTTTCCAGTAAATCGGTGACTACACGAGACTTCACATTCATCAAGGTATACAGGAACAAACACCGGCCCCGGCTCTACCAAAAATTTCTCCCCTTATTACTTAGTCTAGACTGTCGGCGCCGAAAATGTAAGACTTCTGCCTCGCGAAACGGACGAAGTCTAGCCACAAGTATGTGATCAAAACCCTAACTTGTACACAACGGCGCCGGATTCAAGCTCAGATGCATAGATTGTGAGTTGCTTTTTGTTTTTCGAAGCAATGAACGGATAACGGATAAAGGTTCAATAGCTGTCTCCTTGGCTGGAAATAGTCCGAGCATGATTTTGCTGGACGGGAGGGTTTGGGATCCCCGGATCAACGAGATAGACCACGGTAGAAAAGAATGCAAGGGAAACCCGGCCAGCCAGTGGTAAATAACTGCTGGTATTGGTAGATTACGGGTTGACTTTGGGTTGGCAAGTTAGGTGCCATGTGTTTTGTTCGGTTTTGTTTCTCTCGGAGGGGAGGGGAAAGGTTTAGTAGGTTTCGGTTATTAAGTTCGGGGTGAGATGTACAAGACTTGAGGAGGGTAGCTCTTGTATACGGAGGTGAGAAATAGCTACGATAGCTACTCTGTAGAGTATAGTAAGAGGGAGTGAAGAAGAGGGGAAAAGAGGGGAACATACATGCATATCTGGATGCGGTGTACATGCCTACCTGCGTTACAGATGGGATGCCATACAAACATTCAGACGGACATCCCTGCTGCAAGAAACAAACCTGCAACTAACAGCTGTGATGGTGATGGTGGTAAGGGAGAGGCGTCTCTGTGTGTAGAGCGGGATACCAAAGTGCGGATCAGTCGGAAGACACGGGAAGGTGTCGAGCCAATATTCATAACCACCCAATTGGTTCAGCCTTGTGGGTCCGGCATCACAGGCCCATCGTTGAGTCACGAAGCCTACTAGCCATGCCGTCAAAGGAAGTGGAAGAGAGGGAGGGATGGATAACCACGGCAAGGGAGGAGCAGGTGGCTGCTGGAAACCGAGGGGGAGGGATGATCTCAACCTGCCGACCGTTCCGGGAGGCGAGGATCTGCAGAGTGCAAAGCACGGCGGAAAATTTAGTCTTGCTGTAGCTCCAAGCTTCTCGAGAGGGGGAGGGAGGGAGAGAGAGTGTGTACATTGACTGATGATTGATCCGTGGTCCCCATTGGTCTGTGCCGAAGCTGGTGGAAGCTGCTTGATGACCGGCGCTGAGTAAGGTGCTGAGTAAGGTGCTGAGTCACGATGAAATCATACTTCATCAGTAGTTAGTTATTCAGTGTGAACAAAGATTCTTATGATGGAATAGATGAAAGAATGGGATGAAAATTATAGGGAGGGGAGAGATGGAAAACAGTAGAATTGAAGCCAGAAGGGAAAGTGAAAATAGAGACGAGCAGGAAAGACCGAAGGAAATCCGACGAGATCCAGACCGGGCGATCCCCCGTGACGCCAAGCCATGACGATGGAACTTGGTTGGCTTCACAGATTCAATCTGGCTTCTTCCACTTACCAATCCTTCAATCACCTTCCAGTCACGCAACCTGGCAAACATGAGTTGACCAACAACACCCTCCCTCCCTTGCCTGGTCCGTTCCGGCTCTATTCATCTGGCTCCATCCATCAGTCCATGGCCCGCACAGATCCTCGCACTAGGCATGCGGGACCTGATTCCCGTCCCGGCTGTGATGCAGACCCAGCTGAGTTGTTGCTGTTGTTGTTTGTCGCTACAATGATGGCCATCGCGTTCATCTCGGTTGGGAACCCCTCTTGTCCTAGGAACAGTACGATGCTGTCCCCTGTCCCTAGTCAGCCTCTGTTGTGCCTCTGTTGATGTGTACGGCAATCTGGTCAGTGCAATCACACAACCCCTACTCTTCCGACGCAACGACTGGTCCGCCTCGGAACTGACTTCATGCAAAAGAAATTATGACGCATCTGGGGAAAAGCGCAAAAGACCCGCCTACGCTGGTCCTCCTTCCGTCGGCGTCGCTCAGCTTTCCCTGGACAGGCCACTGCACAGGGCCAGAAAAACTTTCGGCTCAAGCTTCAGGGTAAAAAATAATACAACATCCTCTGACGTAAAAGATACGCCCCGCTGGTTCGGTCTGCCATGCGCCCTTCCGTCCTATCCATTCAAACTGGCCAGGCGATATATAAAGAACCTTGTCCTGGTCTCCCCTCATGTGCATCTCCTTCCCCTCTTCATCATCCATTCCTCAGAGCCCGACGAACCAGTCTGTTAGTGGAACTGAGCTGCTCTTTGCGTCTCGCCCAATAAACTACTAGCTGCCCTCCTAATCACTTTCTTCCCATCGCTATATACTTTCAGTCCAGTCAACCGCAGCCATGTTCTCTAGTACCGTGGCCCGTCCACTACAGCTGGTCACCCGGTTTATGCAGTGGGCCAGTGCAGTCATTGTGATGGGTATCACTTCATACTTCATCCACAAGGGACCTCGCGGCCAGCATACCATCTATTGGGAAGTCATTGTAAGCATGCTTCCATCCTGGAATATAAACAAATCGACCCTTATCAGGGTAACCATGGATTAGTCGACCATGTCTGTTATCTTCTTCCTGCCCGCCTTTATCTCGCCGTTCATGCCCAACGCCTTGAGCAAGTTTGTCCTGATCATCGACGTCGTCTTCTCGTACCTGTATGTGCTATCCAATCACGCAACATGATTTCTAATCCTTCTGTACTGTTACTGACCATGATCACAGCTGGCTCACGGCTTTCATATTTGCCGCACAAGATTACAACTGGCACAACTGCGCCGCCAACTCTCCCCCTGGACTGTCCTGCTCTAAGAAGAAGGCCAACGAAGCTTTCATCTTCCTGACCTTCATCTTCACCTTCTTCGCCATGTTCCTCGAAGTCGGTGCCCTCTGGGCCTACCGTCGCGAGAGCACCCCAGTCCGGGAGAAGACCCTTAACGCCCACGGCGGTCCTGCTGACGCGCCTGTGGCCACAGCCTAGACTTCAGACCCGACTACAGATAATACCATCTCAACTGATAGGGGCGACGACGCATGTCAACGTCATCTCTTGTGCATCCATTTATCTGTCCGCAGCTACGTCTCGCACAAGAGATAGCTGTCGTTCGTCTCCTGCGAGATGATTATTCGATACTTTCTCTGTGTCTCTACGATTATGATACCACAGTTGACTTGCCTCTGATTGAACATCTATTGATACTGATGATGTTGATACGTTTGATATCCCTGCATACTATAGTCCCTTCGATAATGTCCGTACGATTTGAACATGCTTGAACGACCCGAAGAAAGAGTAGGTGATGGCCGTGGGTGTGCATAGATGGACCGGGGTTATGACTAGGATCGTCGCTGTTACTAATACTATCTTTACTAGTTACCACAATAATCCTGCGTCATGTCCTTCGTTACAGATTCGTTTTGATTCTATTCATTATACTGGATCTACCCGGTGCTGCGCTGCGCCTGGGTTATCCGATGCGTAATAATAGTACAATAATAAGATATATTCTGTGTCTAACATGAGAGAAACACTCATTCCCTTCCGAGTGCCACCGTGATAAAATAGATAGGATACGGTACGACTTTCTTTCCTAACAAACGAACATGAAAACAACTATGATTAGGAGAACTACCACCAGCAGTTCATACATACAGCGATAAGATTAACCATCATCCACCTAGTCTACACTCTCTCCCTCTGTCTGTATATATATATATATTCATATATATTTAATATCTACAAGACCTAAACAGATGGAACTCAGCTCTCTCTCTCACTAGTATACTATTTATTTTAAATTAATAAATCCCCTTCTCCTTTCCCCAGTCTCTGCTCCCCACTTCCAGCATACAGTTATAAACATACTACTACTACTACTAAGTAGGCCAGTGGCCTAAATTATGGGAAGTTATAGCAGGTTAACCAACAGTATACAAGGATTACTAGTTAAGTTATCCAGTTATATTATAATCTCACAGTGCATAGTAATAGATAGACAAACCTCCAGCTTATCTTTGATAACTATATACAAGAGCAAGACTGCTCAAGTACTCAAGACTTAGAAATACTCTAATAGACTGTAAAGCCCACTCATGGATGTATCTCTATTATAGTAAATTAAGTTATTATCAAACACTTTCTAACTCTTCAATTATAAAGTCATACTCTTATATATTAAATATCAAGATATTGCCTGTTAAAAGACCACTCTTTCTCCCGCTAAAATTACTCAAGAATAATAAAAGTATTCTGTTCCTTGCGGCCTCCTCCCCCCGGGCCCACCTGCTATCCTAATAAAAAGAGAATTATAATACTTTGACTAAATATTACTTCATAACCAATTCATACTGGGAACGATGGATTGGGGATGGTATATTTAAATATAACTGATAACTTGCCTAACTACCAACAGTATTAAATCATGATGGGGTGATTATTCTTCCCAGGATCTGCAACTTAGCCCACGTCAGTTAGTGAATTGACAAGCAACAGAAAAGTAACTAAGCTAGCTAGATATATATTATTATATATATATATGCTTGACATTGATAATCCCAAAATCCTTGGTAATTGTATTAATAGCGCAATAGTAAATTACACATAGCCTGGAGGTTGGGCTGTCTGTTACTAGTAACTAGGATATGACTTGAATATCAAGATATCAGGATAAGCAGCTCATGCGATTCCGCAATATCACACAAGAGCCAGTTATGTCTATTCATTAAATGGTCTATCTATTAAATGCAAAATATACAAATTCGCTTTAAAACTGAAGTAGCTTTTGTATTCTAACCAGTGACACAGGTGCCTCGAATAGATATAGGTTTCAGAAACGGATATCAGGTGTTGGATGTAGTTGTACTTCTTTTTGCTCTCTCTCTGCCAAAAACTGATAACCAAAATATCGCAATTAGTCAATAAAAGTTGTTTCGTGGAGCCTTGCCTGCCCCCATTTTCTTTTGCATTTTCTCTTTCGCCTCTGCCCTGCCTTCGGGGGTGTTGTCGGGCGGCAGCAGTCAAAGGGCAGCTTTAATGAGCACCGAAATGGTCATACAGTCCAACTGCGTATCAATACATCCTAACAATATGTCGATGTCGGGTTTCGCAGATCAGAGGCGACATGCCATCTTAAAGATGGGTGCGACCGTGGCTCGGGGTATCCTAAAATACAGCAGAACAGAATTATCAATGGCCCCTCCAATCATTATTACTTGCATCTGTTAGATTCTCTTTTTGTGCTCGTGCGGTGAGCTCCGCAGCTGCGTACTACTGCCTGTACAGCATGGTGTCTGTATACGGTGATTCTTCGAGCTCCTTATATGCTGTTCTTTTGAACAAGCAGATTTAAAGAATCTGTTGCGCTCGTCACATTAATGCCTAGGTGACTGAAAGTGCTGCTTCAGAGAATATTTATCAGGGAATTGTTGGTTGCAGGCAATGCAAAGAGGCATGTCAGACTAAGAAAGTATTATCTAAAATAAAAACAAAGATTTAAAGTACTTCCACAAGGCTAACAATTGCGCAACTTCAAATAGTGCTTTAATCTTAGCACTGCTGAGTAAGAGCAGTATTTATAATGGGCAGCATAGGGCGTGTCTCTCTAACTGGACAAAGTGCATTTCAGGTCTCCCGAAATCAAGCTTTAGGGGGGGGGGGCGGGGGTTTCCCAATCATATTTCCCCTCATAGTACAGCGCGGTTTTTAGAACCTTCATTTCCGAAGACTTACGCGCATTTCGCCCAGTGAACTTCGTCCTGTGACGGCTGCGATGGGGTAATTAAAGCCTAACCAAAGAATCATGTTTAATTGCTGGATAATATATCAGTGGTCATCCCAAGAGCGTGAAAAACAAATGCCAAATTGTGAAGGGCGGACTGAGGTTCAGACATACCTTGTTATATATAAAACCAGCATGTCTATCTTTGCAGTTCTGATATCTTTATCAGTAAAGCCACATCCTTCTTGACATGACGGATCTTTCGGAGAGTCGTCCACTGACTCTGTGGTCAGGTAAGAAAGCATCAGCCAGACCTGCTCTTGCCTCGGCTAGAGCCGGAGGAGCGTCTCAGCGATTAGCCGAACCAGATGTTGGAGAAATACCAAAGCCAATATTACCTATAAATAAAAGTCACAAAGCTCTCTCAAATTAAACTGCTATGAACAGGACCCACGGGACGTGTACAAACCACGAGCTAGAATTCATCGCGGATAATAAATCATCCTGGCCCATTATCAAAAGCACAAACAGGAAGTCGTGAACATCCAATATCTTTCCGTAGATCAATCCCAGATCCGAGGCCTTCTAAGATTACCAGTCAACTTTCTCATCCTATATTTCCACGCTTTCTGGAATCATACTACAACATGAGCCAGCTGTATCTCGTATAGAAGCTGATAGAGATCACGGTGGACAATATTCTAACCGCTCCGTGGCCAGTAAACAAGACCAAACTGATATACATCCTCAGGTCAGTGAGTGTCACTGGCGGCTATTGTATGATCTTAATAATATGGATACCTCATGAGGGAAACAGACCCTAGATGGAATATAATTCCTGCGTGATCAGGGAAGAGCCTTGGCTACCCTGGGGCCGGACATAATCTGGTTGAATAAAAGAGGGTAGGTCCGCCTTGGTAAATTGGTCCCTGCCAACATTGTTATCAAGAGCATGGATAACTGACTTTGCTATACTAGCCGGCGCAAAACTGAGTTATTAGATCCAAACGTCTTACATGAATACTGATATACTGAAATTAATTGTTCTAGCAACGGTCATGAGGAGCCTGATGGTTATAGGTGCAGGATAAGAAAGATAGAGCTCCAAGGTTTAAAGATTTCTTAGAAACCTTGCCAATAAGTTACTGGATGAGTTGTTGAAGGCAAGTTTGTAGTGAGTTAACAGAGCAGCTGTTTTTAACAAGCTGTTTCTTGAAAAGGCGACTGATGAGAGTGATCTTAAGCTATGTGTCCACGTCGCAAATAAACAGGCTAAATATGATCTCGTACTGCTGTGATATTGATGGTATATATTATAATTCAGGATATATCGTTGGGTGAGCTCTTGCAGCCAAGATTTATAGGGGCTGCAGGCTTATTAATGTTTTTTTGCATGGTTCAGCACCTACCCTTCCGAAGAGTCGGATTGTGGTTTGATATTTACCTCAACCGATGGCGTTCTTTTCCGCTTATTCGTCCTGTTCGGGGGTACAGTACAGTACGAAACACTCAGGAGGAACAATTACCATATCTCAATTTGTCAGATATATTACACCTAGGCTAGTTATCTGGAGATATATATGCTCCGCTGTATTCTAGGGAGGCATTTTCTTTGATAATCTTTAATGAGCTATCCGCGGTCCTAGCCCAAAAGCCTCCATGATATAAATAAGTTTTTTATGCTACTGTATTGACATCCATTTATGTTATAGATAGTATCACAGGTATTCTTAGTAGTCTAGCCCTGGCAAGAGAGGGCCCTCGCGCCGAACTTTGACTTTATAGAAAATAGTTTTGTTTATTAATTTTACTAGTAATGTAAGGCCTCCCTCTCCGTTATTTGTCCAAGGAAGGCGTGCTTTCTAGTCAGCAGCTGCATTGCACAATGAAGCTGGAATATAATGCTATAATAGATCTTTTAAGCATCGCGGCGAGGTGCTCTTGGCTAGTGCTGATTTAAAGCTTCAGATATCCTGGCTCCAGGTGAATTCGGAACCATTTTCTGCATGATCTTGTTAAGAATCGACCGGAGAGTATTTTGAACATAAAATCATTGTGTCGGCACGGGAAGGGTCGAGTGAGGGGTGCTATTGACAGAGTATGGCTATTATTGAAAGTAATAACACTGATTGTGTTTAATCTTAAAGGGGCATTTAACGGGGTTAATGGGAATATCCTAACCAACAGCTTAAGGCTAAAGGGATCTTAATTATATTGTGAATCTGGGTTATCAGCTTTGTATAAGACCGGTCTGCAAGTATTTTATTTGATGACTTCGAGTCCCCAATGTCCCCTTTAGAAAACGCGGGCCTGGCTCAAGGCTCGTCCCTGTCACTGATTCTGTTCATTTTCTTCTACTCCAACCTGGTGGACGCCGGTGGACTACCACGGAGGCGCATCCGCGTTTACAGACGACTACTTCCGGTGGCGCAGGGAAATCTGCAGAAGAAAACCTCAAGAAGCTCCAGGAGGTGGACATCCCCCGCACCGAGCAGTGGGCTAAGTAAACAGAATCATGCCTTGCCGCGGAAAAGGCCGAACTCATCCACTTCACCAGAAAGAAGACAAGATGCATCCTTTTTGAATGCCTAAGGGTGGCCATCCGAAAGAACATTTGCCAAGAATGGAAACATGGATGGAAGACACCCCAAAAAGGCGTCATCTCCGGCGAATCGATACTGAGTTACCAGCCATCCGCACGCGACGACTATACGACCCGTTGCCACGAGACCGCACCTACCTCCTTACCCAGTTGCGGACTGGTCACTGCTGGCTGGCACCTAACGGAAAGCTGAACGAATTCCGAAACGATGATAACTGTGGATGTGGTGCCAAGGGAACCGTCACTCATGTCATACTCGACTGCCCAGAACTAAGAATACCACGGCAGATTCTACGCAGAGAGACCGGAGAAGCATTCGCCGACATCTCAACCATGCTAGGAGGAATAGAGAAACCAGCCACGTGAAGGCTGTACTGGACTTTGCAGAAGTATCTCGACGGTTTCGTGGCCGCGGATCCGTGACATTGCTGGCTCTGCGTAGCCTTCCGCACCCTCGACTCATCTCAAGGTTCTAAGCGATGTAATTTATCACATATGGGCTACTTAACAAACACGAATTACTGTTCGCTTCCTCTTCAACAGAGATTAGCGCTTGTCATATTTTAGCATGTTCGCGGCAAAGATGAATACCGGAAAGGAGGTTATCTATAAGGGTGCAGTAATACTACCGTCTTTTGGCAGAGTTACCTTCAACTCTGTATGGTCGTGAATGGTCCGTGCGATGGTTTGAAGGCGCACAGGTTTCGTCAAAAATAGATCCATCTTCGACCCCATTGCATCGCGTTGAACGTCAGCCTGGGCCACACCAGTCAAGGCAACAATCGTGACTCGGGCATGCTGCTTCAAGGTATTCTCAAAAGCGCGAATTTGCCGTGTGGATTCTAAGCCATCCATGACAGGCATGGAGATATCTGCGTAAGAGTTAATATATACCTCTTGACATTTCTTGTCCAGCCATTCAACGCCTACCCATTAATACAATGCGAATCCGAGAATAATATCGATTGAATAAGGCAAGGGCCTCTTGGCCATTATAAGCAGTGAGATAGCCAAGTCCCAGCTTTCTCGTAAAAGCAACTAGGAGTGAGATATTGATATGATTGTCATCCACCAACAGAACGAGCGGAGAGTCTTGCCAGGTCGAAGGATCAGGATCGACCTTCTCTTTGTGGGTTGGCTCGGATTTCGGGGTGAGAACTTGAGTGGACAAGGAAAGCGACAAAATATCCTGATACCCCGGAGCAGGAACGGGCTTTCCAAGCGACTCCACGACGGGTTGACTTGCCGTGGATGCTGAATAATCAGCGGACTCGCTTCTAGGTTGCCTATTGGACTCTAGGGCTGACGTGAAAGGCAATCGATTAACGAATTGATCACGAGCTGAAGATTTCGACGGTCCTGGGTTCTTTATTGCTTGGATACGCCGCCTCTGTCGTTCGAGGCAGATATGCAACGTTTTCGCTAACTTTCTGGGTCCGCAAGGTTGGGCAATGAACTCGATTACGTACGAATCTCCTCTCCGGCGCGCTGCCATAGATAGCGAGTGTGCGACCCTAGGAGACGGGCATATAATGATTATGGGTGCGGCGAATTGCGTATCTGAATCGGGGACAATAGACTGGATGTCGAGGTTTCCCATGTCCAGGTATTCATGAGATGATATATAGAAGTGGCAACGAGGAGATCCCGCATGTGATGGTGCGACCAGGTTGACTTCCATATGGAGCCACTCTTCGCATATCTTCCGCAAAGATGAAGAGAGGATTGAGTCCAGCTCGGAGGGCCCCGGACCTAGGATTCCGATTCTTTTCCGAGATACTAAGCGTCTGGTCGACGCAAGAGAGTCGTTTCCTATGTTATCGCCCAAACCCCGATCAGTGCAAAAATGCTCCGAAGCATGGTCGAGAGTTAAAGACACCGTGACTTGAGTACCGACCCCTTTTTCGGAAGTGATTTTGACTTCGCCGCCAAGCGACGAGACTGTTCGTTGAACGATGCTGGCACCCAGCCCATTTCCAGGGGACGTATCATCCTCCTGCGAGAAGGCAGCAAAGTATCCGTTCCGGAGAAACTCAGGATTCATTCCGCAACCGGTATCTTGAACAGACATGGTGACTCTAGAGCGCAGAGGTTCTTTGTCATCACTCAGAATTTCAGGCTTCGCCGTGACTGAGATGTAAATATAGCCTTGCTGAGTATATTTGAGAGCATTCCCGACGATATTTGTAAGAATGAGATGCCATGCATCAGGACTTGCGGCGAACGCCCAGTTTGGAGCGCTGTTGATATCGAGGATCAGTTTCACTGCGCCTACTGAGCCAATCGACTTGTTATAATCGGAACTTGCGCCAGCGGCGCCTCTTCGAGGGATGTGGGATTCGTGAAAGAAGGAGAATCCCGTGAAGGTGATGTCGACGGCAGTTTCTACCGCAGCATCAAGTTGAACGATGGCTTGGGCGTTCATCTCAGCAGCTTGAGAGGAATCACCGCCTTTAAGCGACGAGTGACGATGAGATAGAGGTGGGTTCGCGCCGCAGGCTCGTTGCATATCATTTACGTTAGCAAACTCGAGCAGCTGATTAATAGACCCCAGCAGAGTGCTTGTGCAAGAAGCGATCGTATGCACGAGTCCCTGCTGAAGAGCATCCAACGCTGTGTCATTCAAGAGGTCTGTTGTACCGAAAATGCCATGAAGTGGCGACCGAAGCTCATGGCTGAGACCAGCGAGTAAATCAAACTTAGCTCTATCGGCAGACAAAGCACGTAGCCTATGAATTTCAGCCATAATACTTATGCCAATGACTGTGCAAAACGTCAATTCATCGTCGGGGGTGAACACGCGCTGGGGAGCCTTTGTCCATGCAAGTGTCCCAGCATGCCATCTTGACTTATGCGAATCCCAAACAGGTGAGAAAAGGATACTCCGAGACCCAGGGGCCAGATTCAGAAGGGCGAGAGCATCTTGACGTAAAATGGACCTCCGAGTTTCTTTATACTTCTTGTCTCCGCGAGTGTTGAAAGTTGCGAAGACACCATCGCTCGTGTCATCGGATGAAATGGCCCCGTCTTCGCCGAATTTGAAGATTTTCCCTCCAGGATAACGATGCAAGAGCCCTGCCAGGAACGCCTCTGATATATTAATTCTCGCATCCTCCGTCATTTCATGATTGACGCTAGCGGTATTCGAGGTAGCAAACCCGAGAATCCTGGCCGGATCCACCGACGCTGGGCCAGAGTTTTGGACCCTTGACTGGACAAGCTTCGATGCCGTGTTGCCCTTTCCTGCTTTGACTTCTCCCTCACTTGCGGAGCTTTCCAGACTGCTCTCCCATTCGGGCTTCCCGCTGGTCACAAAGGCGTCTTGGCCCCCAAAATTGGCGTCGAAAAAGACAACCCCTTCAACTTCGAGGCTTTCACGGACGATATTGGCCGCACGCGCGAATGTTGCTCCAACCTGACTTGTCAAGGTCTCTTGCTTTAACCTAGACTTTAGGCCCTGTTCGACATTAGCTCTCACCCCATATGGCTTACGAAACCTTGATTGATCCCTCGTGGCCTGTGACGTAGAGGCCTGTGATTTCGGAGAGGTTCTCCGTCGCCCACGCGTTTTATCGTCCCTTTGAGATGGTGGGACCGGAGAGTTGAGGCAGAAAGGCATATCACTCTGACCCTTTTTATTGGTTGTGACCCAGGCCACAGCTTCCGACCGCTGTTTGTGCTGTTGTTGGGCGTCGATACGCCCCTCCGCGTCATCAAATTGGCTATGGCTAGTAGCGACCTCATTGTCTTCCAGCCACGAGCTACGCAGACTCCCTTTCCCTTCTAAGAAGCTCCCCAAACCAACCATCATGCGCTCGCCTCGAAGGTGTTGGCTTCGACATCGCCCCGCGACCAAGTAGTCCATGACAGTCGCTGCCATATCTGTCAGGAATTTCAAGATATCCGAAGTAGGCGAGGCCCGAGGTTTATCGTCGAGAATCGTGTAGGCGCCAATCACGATGCCCTTGGGACTGACAATCGGAGCGCAAGCTAGGAAGCGAATGTTGGGGCAGTTTATAACGTCCGGATGATCATGGAAAGTATCGTCATGAGTCAAATCGGGGACAACAAAGACATGTTTCGCAGGAGTCTGGGAGAACGATGGGGAATTGGCAATCGCGGTACAGAAACTGCGGTCATAGGACATCGTACATGCCCCTAGCCAGAGTTTATCCCGCGCCCTGTCAACAGTTTCATCCCTCAGACTGAGTGTTCGAGTTGCTTCGGCCAAGATATACTCTTCATGCCGACCAAAAAGCGAGATGATGACTCGTTGAGCATCCAGACGCAATGTACCCAGTTGGGCAAATGCGGTGAGGGGGCAGTCGAGGGAGGCACGCGCAGAAAATTCGACGGAGCGGGTGTTCCGCTCGACATGTTGCAAGGGAATTGTTACGGGTGGCAAGTATCTGTAGAAGCAGTGAGTTCCCCAGTCGAACATATGAGCATGTACGCTGATTTACTTGAAAAATTCGCGTTCTCTTGTTGTACCGAACCTTCCAAACTCGGGCCGAGTTTGCTGTAGAGAGGGCGGACGTGACATTGTGCTAAGACCGAAACGTGATGGACGGACGGTGGATAAAGAGAGGAAAAGCAAGCCATCGTAAGATTAGCGATGAGTCGGGAATTGAAGGACTGCGGGGCGTTCGGGTCGGGAGCGTATCGCTAGCTAATCAGGTCTACCCTTTTCAAAGAAGGGAAAAAAAGAAGTGGGGCATAGGCGGTGATTATCTTATTATTGGCCCCTATTAGTTCCTAGCCCATTCCTCACGTTGATAAATGCTTAGAGAAGACCCACTCATACTGGTCAGTGAATAGACGAGTTCTAGTAGAGCCGATTTGGAAATTGTCCGGACTTGGGTCAGGCCACTTATCGCATTTCATACGAAGCTGCTTAAGGCTTGTCTCGATCATAGCAGGTCGATCTATCCCGAGACTCACGGGAGAGTATGACATATACTGGGAATTAGTAGGCAAGATCCGTTGCGGCTGGTCAGAATGGTATCTGGGTTTCTACAACAGCACCATACAATAGTATAGTAGTAGTAATAATAATAAGTAGTAGTAGTAGTGTTCATACGTTGCCCTTCGCTTTAGGCGATATGCAGGGTCCCACTATTTCTATCCCGTGTACATCCATTCACCGTGAGCTATCACTTTTTGGCGGACTTGGAGCCTCGTCAAGGCTTGTGGCGGCCGGCCCCTGGGGTTCTGTTCTGCCGCCCTCGCGGCGCGCGATATCGGAGTCTCTGCGATGTCTCTGCGGAGTCCAATACCGCCCTAGGATGCTGCTGTGTTGTGGAGCGATTTCTAACCTCCCTTCCATACCTTGGTCTGCGCCTCGGTCAAGTTCCAAAGGAGTGAGCCATAAGGTCGGCCGTGTGCGGATTTGAGACAGGGCCGGTTTAATGTGGCGAAGGTGCTCTGCTTTCCGGGGTGGAATTACAAGAGCTTACTTTATGCTAGACAAATATAATCCCAAAGCTTACGTATTACGATTGCAGAAGAGCAAAGAAAACGCTTTGGCCGTACCAAACTTTATATACAACACTATACTATAATTAGATGCATAAATGAATCTCTCTCTTAGACTAAGAGAGCCCAACGGTGGCCAGGTGGCGTGATGGGATAAAGTCAACTTATATCACAAGCCGCAAACCCTGCATGCCATATCTGAGAGAGACGAAGAGCCGAGAAGCCCCAAGGATCCCTGTTTGAACTCTTTTTGCGACAAGCAGCTCCCAGTGTAACTGCTATACCTCTCGCATATCCTTATCCTTATGTATATCCCCGGACATTCCTTATCTGCCAGTGAGAGAAAGCAGAGGAGTTCTTCATAAGAGCGTCTAGGACGACGCATCAAAGGGCCAGGTTAAAGGAGCAAACTTTAACATGACGTCATCACCGAGCATGTCCATGAGCCCTTCTATATGCTCGTCCAGCAATATGTTATTGTGCACGTGTCCTATATCTTCTGAGCGATAACACCCCCGGTGGAAGGCCAAACTTACACGCAGAACCGTGAAATTGTCAGGACCGAGGCTATGTTCAAACAACGTACTTTCGCTGACCTTAATACCCAAGCACAACACTTTCAAAGACTTGAAAGCTGACTTGGCCGGAAAGCGCAGGAAGTGTGCATGCGGTTGGGAACATCGATGCAGCTGCGCCTTGTGCCTTCAACGTCAATCAAAATCAAAGAACTTAGCATATGGACGAACGTTCTTATCCTTGGCTAGACAGTCACCTGGGACTAGCATCCCTGAAGTACATGGTCAAGACGGAGAAACGAAGGCAGGACTCCAGGCAGAGCAGTACAGTGTATATGCCTGCTGAAGTCGAATACAGGCCACATACAGGCATGAGAGAGTTCGGAAAGTGGACCCCGGTATTCCTTGTCACTTGTGACACAGGGAGACGGGACTGGAATGGGGCTCCGGTTCAACCGAAGACTAAGCCTTGTGGTCGCCGATTCGGCGATCTCGAGAGATGCTGAGTACCTAGATAGTATACTTGCAGATATAGATTAAACGGCCGTTTACTCCCTTATCTTTCATCTCAAATAGCGGGAGTCTGGACCGCATAGAGAGTTGGATTTGGAAGAAGCCGCCGTAAAACATGAGAAATTGCTCCTGCGACTGTCACGTTCAATGCATGTGCGAAGCCGTCTAACAGCAAGCTCCAGAGGAGTCGTGTCCGTCCAATGGAACACGTTAAACCAAACGCTTCAGATCACGCGTTCGTACTGGCGGCCTTCTTCACCGACACAACATCTTTTCATCTGCTGCTAGGAACCAATCCAGTCTTTATGCCGTGTCGAAAGCACCAGCTGGGCAATCTATCAAAACTGTAGTACCCAAGATTCGATTCGTCCGAGACAAGGCAAACGTGCGATGTCTCAGAAAATCTGCAGCAAGCTCGCGTGTTGTATTTAGCGTGTTCGATAGCTTAGTGACCGCTTTCTCTCACCCGCCTAAAACAGAAGCTTGTCTCGGTCCGCTAAGTCCCTCCCAGCCAGCTGGCTCCACCGCTTGCTCGCAAGCTAGCTTCACCGCTCCCTGTCAGACGATGCATCGTCCCAGCCATCATGAGCAGGTGTGCTATACCACGCTGACCTTTGCCTTTGCACCGGCCGAGGCGCCTGCTACACCGATCCACCGTTAGCATCACGAGCAACAGCAGCGCTGGCAGTGGCAGCGAATAGTCGTATTTCCAGCTACAGCAGTATCGACAGAGTTCCATCTCAACACAGTTGTCGTCGGAGCTCTCACAGCCACCCTTCCCCGGGCTTTCAGGAGCACAAGCGCGAACAGCGCAAACGGGAGCGTTTCCTTGGCCGTAACCGTGTGACCGCCAATGAATTTCGCTGCAGGACAGATACCAAGCAGGTGGAGGGTTCGTGCGAAACAATTTCACCAGTAAGATCTTCCCTAAAAGCAAAGTGGATCGTCGTGGGGCGGGACTCTGAACCCGAAGAAAGCTGCTGCGACATCCTCAATGTGCGGATAAGGGCATCAAGCGCCATCTTGTTGGTAATGTAAAGCAGAATTCTGGCTAAGGCCATTGACATAACGTCATGGTCCGGAGTGGAAGACAGAGTGGGACGGAGAGCCCCAACAGGGGCAGGAATTGACATTCGACCGTGAGCATCTTATAAAGCTTCGGGCTTTATGGATTGGCTCCTTGGCTGGGATCCGAGCAGATACCGAGCAAATGCCGGATCGAGTTCGTATTAGGACTATTGATGGAGTTTGTGCTTCGTCGTCTGTGATGGTGTGGTTGTTGCATACCTGATGCGGTATCTCAAACCTTGCTGACATTCTCTTTTCATACCTCTTTATGTCTTATTGATAATGTCTGCTCATCCCCTTTTTCTCTTTTGTTTCCCTTGGCAATGAGCGGCTAATACTCGGTGTGTTCTTTGGGTCTGATGGGGCGAGTTCCGCCACACGCGCGACTGCCACCGGCCAATCCCATCGGCTGCCGCCTCTCTACTCAGAGCTGCCCGTGAGCATCGGTCGCAACGACTCCACAGCCCCGTCAGTACAGGCCCCCGCGGCTGGGCGAAAGTTACGTCGAACAGTCAATACTTTCCGTTTCCGCCTGTAGCGGTAATCTAGTGGTAAGCACTCCGAGGCGACCTCCAGAAATAATGCGTGGCGTAGCCCGCTTAGCGGCGGGCAGACGGTTAGCACATGGGCCACTGTTTCAGTTGCTCCATTTTCACAACTGGTCGTCGTCTTGGGAGCCGCGCCGCTTAGCATGCGTTTTGAGCGCCCACTCCGGGTCGCAGTGGGATTCCGAACCGAGTGTCAATAACGATGCAAGCCAAGGGAGTTCAGACGCAGAGGCAGGACTATTGATTGATATCCAGGTTGGCTGGAATTGCCACTGACGTTTCTCTCAAAAGCTCTTCCGTTTGTTCTAGACCCCCGTAACTTATCATATCCATCAGTAGACGAGTATTCGCGTGAATGTTATAGTGTCGTGGAACCGCGTAATTTGGTCTGAACAGATCGTACTAATCTGGCCAACCATGCTGTGCTCAAGTTGATCTTACAGAGTTAGCCAGCGCAACACGATTGCTACAGTAAACACTATTCTCCAGAGTCAATGTTCAGCTCATCTTGTGTATTGTACCATAGTATTCTTTCCTTAGACGGCGTTGTGACTATTTACAGTACCTTCGTTAATCTATTTCATTTTCTTGCCAAAACCTGTACATGTACACAGCAGCTGTTGGACGCAAGGGATTTTTGCGACGGAATGAATGTTTTCGGTGCCACATTTGAACGTGCTGAACAACTCCATGGTGTTCCTCCATGGCAGTTGCATTTCCATTACCATAGCTGAAATCTTCTACGTAGGGACGAAAATTGAATAGCCGCATATAGATAAACACTGCGAGGCTCTGTAAGTAGAGATAGGGAAAAAGAAGTTATCTACCTACTAATTCGCGGAAATCCTTACAATTTTGAATAAATCAGACAAGCATAAGTTACCCAAGAACCCCTATCCACCCAAGGTGATGGTGCGACAGAAACGAGACCGGCGTAATAAGAGCCTTTAACACGAAAGGCTTATGAATACAGCAAGCTGTGCAACGTCCGACGTCTACCTGGGTATTACACGGGGGCACTGGCCCAACTCGCTATTTAGCTCGCTGCTAGGCCGGAGAAGTTCTCGCGCTTGCACAGTCCTTCCTCATGGAAGGAACCAAGTAGTTGCAGGCCTTACCAGGTATTGGGTGGATCGTAATAGGACATGATCGAAATTGGTAGAACATCTCTAGATGGCGCTTCGAAAGGCAAGACATAAGAGCGGAACCCATCCAAGACATTTCACAGTAGTGCCCGAGTCACTGCGACCGAAGTGTAGGAATTTTGATTTTTGTAGCCTTTTGGTACGTTTCTAGCCCTTAAAGGTCTGATCGCCTTTATGTCAGCCATTCTCTGACAGACGAGCTTGCCGTCTTGGCGGCAGGCCTCGACGTGCGGCCAACTCACATAACAAAAGGGCTGGAATCGACCGAGGTTAAGCAGCCTTGAACATTTGACGGGGCGTTCGTGATTAGCAACCCTTCTTCCCACAGGCTAGATGAGGGAGGAACAAAAGGGAAAAGAGAAAGCCCAATGATACCACCTCAGGTTGCAGCTAAAATAGGAAAGAGAAAGCAAACCGTCGAGTACGGAGCGTGGCCCGCTTCGTATTTTCGCTCTTGCCAAATTCTAACTTCTGAGATTTGCTCGGTCGGTGTGCCATGGCGACTCGATGGGTGTGACTCTTACGCACGGGGGTGACAAAAACACCGTATGATGGGACAGGGTGGCAGTTCCACGGAGAGAAAGTATACCAAGCTAGGAACGGACAGTGCACGGGCTATGATTGGAGTATCGGCAAGCCCAGGTACCTCCCATTGCTTTTCCTTTTCTTTATTTTCCTTCTCTTTATTTTCGACGACTGCTAACCTGACCTGTCCAGCAGATCCGATGCGAAACGCGCCAGTCCGCAAACGGCCGAGTCGAGCTGGGCTAGGGACCAACAAACCATAGCGACGTCCACGATGGTACCGTATCATTCCGGGCCTGGACCGCTCTCAACCTCGCTCTATCGCCGGATGATTTGCCATCCAATCACAGCACATTGGCTTTACTCCTTTCATTTCGTTGGGGAAAGAAAACCTAAATAATGCTGCAAGAGCTCTTTCGTTGAGCTCCAGCTGGGCGGGGCAAAAGCTACCTTCCTACGCCCGGGAGCGTTCTGTTTCCCGCAGAGACGTATACGTGACGACCCACGCACCGATCTTGATCTTGTGACGCAATGATGTCATTTGTTGTAATGCCCGCACAACATATGGAAAGCATTCTCAAATTTTCAGCAGCTCACTGATTGGTGATGATATATAGCTAACGGCAATGGGCGATTGTTACTTGCGCAGCCACGGCCTCAATCGCAGTTGACGACTGCCTGAGGTGCGGACAGCATACCCTGATGAAAATGGCCTCAAATCCGGGATCACAGTCTGCTTCCCCGTGTACTTCATCTGCCTCAAAGGTTGCCATCCCGAGATTACCGATACGTGAAGCCACTTCTAGGCCACGCACCAGCAAGGCATGTAAAGAGTGCAGAGCTCGCAAGACCAAGTGCGATGGTCACCAGCCGTGCAGTCGATGCGCGGGGTGTGGAATAGATTGCGCCTACGTGGATGGAAAAAAGAAGACTATGGAAAGGTGTGTTCAGAGTCTGGATGCGCCGAGAAATTGCTGAAATCGCGTTAAACCGACAAAATTCTAGGAGATACCGAGACCTCGAAAGTCAGGTTCAGGTCTACGAGAAAATTCTACGCCTCATGCAGTTTCGATCCATACCGGAGGACGGAGAACTTATCGCTCGGACCCTTGCCCAAGTCAGCCATCCTTTCATTGACGGATCCTAGGCTCTGGCCTGTTTAACATAAGCCCCAAGTACAGCATGTCATCCGCCACCATCGGCGTAGTTACAGACCACGAGCATTCTCCAGCTACGGCAGACCGTTCTCTTTTGGAAATAGAGTATTTACAAGAAGACTTACACAGTACTAAGAGCTTGCAACCCTTCGGATTCATTGGCGGTCCTTCTGAGGTCTCCTGGATTCGGAATCTAAACCAGGAGACTGAGAAAAGCACTATAGCTTCGGAAGGAAAATCTCCGAATCGAGTTCCAAGCAACGACTCAGAGGTACTGAGTAAGGTCGGTTATTTCCTGGATGATCAGGAGCTGGCCATGTATGGCGACATTGATCTTCAGGTTCAGCCTCCTCGAGACGTTGCGGAGCGAATGCTCTGCCTATATTTCCATACTGTCCATCCTTCTTTTCCCATCATCAGCAGGATATCCTTCAGGCAGCAGGTGGAGAGCTATTACGCCAACCCCAAATTAGGACCGCCTAAGAAATGGCTTGCGGTTCTCAATCTGGTTTTTGCTGCCGCCGCCAAGTTTGCGCATTTGGTACCTCAGCATCGGGTGCAATCAATGGATACCACTATGGTGTATTTCACCCGTGCTCAGCGACTTAGCGTCACGGAGAACCACCTGACTGGACACCCCGATCTCCAGCAAGTCCAGATTGAAGGTCTCACTGCGTTTCTCTGCATGGCGTTGGGCCATATCAATAGGTGCGACTGCGATCTCCTTTCTCCGCCTTTGTTTTGACCAACGCCCTAGGTTCTCACAAAATTGCAGATCATGGAGAGCATGCGGGATAGCATTAAGGTCTTTCATTGCTATGGGAATCAACCTTCGGAATGAGAGTAAGAGAATTTCCAATATTTCAAGGGAGATCCGATACCGTGTTTGGTGGTCACTCTATACACTGGAAAACACGCTTTCAGCCATGACTGGCCGGCCTCCTGGAACTGCAGATAGGTTCTGTACGACGCCTTTGCCAATACCCTTTGGAGAGGAACAGTTTCACGTAGATCCTGCTGCCCGACTATTAGCAGATGCGGATTTCCGTACTGCGCATACTCGGACCTTTACAGCCTCAAGGCGCATCCTTGCAAACCGAGCTGATTTAAATAATGGAAAATCTAGCAGCCAAAGTCCTGCTCCAGAACTGGAAGGTGTTATTTCCAACACTTCTCAATATTTTCTCTATTATGTCGAGCTGGCAAAGATCATGCGTTGAGTGATTGATTTATTATACAGTCCAAGATCTGCGAGACGTCCTTGGCTCATTATCTATGCAGCCATGGTATACCTAGTAGATGAAACAGATAAATGGCTTTCTGGTCTCACTGAAGCATTTAACTTCAAGCACAGCCAAGAAGTAAACTAATTTAAGAAGTAAAGATGGGGCCTTATTATTAGATTTTATAGCATAAGAATCATGATTTGCCGATCCTCCCTCTGTCAGTCAGAAAGGTATAAACAAGAAATAGAATCTCTAATAAATCTCCAACAGACTGCAGAGATATATATTAATTTAACATACTGAATTATTAATCTTCTGCCTGATAAATCTAACAGTATCTGGTTAGTCCAGGTGTTTCCATGGTAGTGTGTCCTCCACTATCTCATGCAGTCAATAACTGTACTGCTGATAGAGCTGGGCCATTACATTGAAATAGATACTGATTAGACTGTTAGAATTAACTCACGCGTTATAAAGGTACTAGACTAGCTTTCCGTGATAGCAGCTGATAAACTCACTGCGGAATATATTTTTATAATTTATAATAATCTACATTACTGGCTTTTTCTCTGCTCTACTGTTAAACAGGATAAAGACTCTAATTATACTATGAATTTATTATTTACTAGCAACTTTTAAAGCTTATTTTTCCAGTCTTTACATAGCCCTACTCATACTTTCTCTGTGCCGCACAGACCGGGGGCGTTAGCATTTACAGACTTAGAAATACTGTATAAGACGATATTCCATCCCGCGCTCCAGACTGCGTACGACGAATTTATGCCGTATGATTTGTACACTGCATGAAACTCGTAGTGTGTTAGCTGTTCGGCACATTTAAGCTGTGTTTCTATATACGCTGAGGAGGCGCTTTCACAAGTAGATATTAATTATCCCGTCTTTGCCAGCACAATGCTTGACATCTGAGGATGGATAAAGGGATAATCGTACGGAACCAGGCTACATGAATTCAGATATAGGAACATAGAGCCGGATATATTAATGGGGAGATATGATTATAGTACAAAGCAAGTGCTTCTAGTACTGGGTAATATGATTAATCAAGTACCCGCGGTTGAGTGGGCTACGCCAAGAACTCTGGTAAAGAATTAAAGGAGGATCTAATGATATTTTTAAGAGAGTAAAAACAGGCCGAGAAAGTAGATTACAAGATATTTTCCAGGACAGTAGTATTCTAGGAGCGGTATTCAATAAGATGCTGAAGAGCAATGCGGATACTGTGCAGGGGTATATAATACCATGGAATATATGGCAAAGAACCTGACCCGAAACCCACGCCCAGATATGCTTTATATAAAAGATAGGATATTATAGAGAGCAACACCTGCCCCCGAAGATAGAGAGAGCAGACTAGAATTAAGTAGACATGGAAATTTCAGACTATTTTTTAATATAAATCTAATAAGTTAAGGTCAGCTCCCTTCGCAATAACAACCAGCAGAAACGCGGAAGGTGCTTCAACCGTGCAAGTAAAAGAGTAGTGCAGGAAACCTGAATTACACTGACTCCGAGCCTACCGCCGGATCAATCACATCAGTGTGAACTCACGAAGAAGTGTCCAACCATCCACGCGGGTGGCAGAAAGGAATAGCAGATAGCACACCGGCGGCGGCGAACGAGATCCCATCAAGAACAGTCAGAGAAACAGAAGCAGATGTTCGAAGTACAAGGTGAAAATGTCCTGCCTTGGTGGAAAAGCCATGAACACTCCACTCAGGAGGAACGAGACGCTTGATTAAGCCGGTATTAAGCCGACTCCAGGAGAGCATATACAGACAATAGAAAACTTATCTTCCGACTTGTACACCAAGCCAGCAAAGAATAGAGGCTGAATTTCATTATCAGGAGCTGATATGTGCAGTTCCTTAATTCAGATGGAGCAAACAGCTGTTCTTATAATAACATAACCATACCACAATATATTTCTGTAGGTTTCGGTATATCCTGTGTATTTCGCAGCAGTATGAGCGGATAATTCAGTTAATCTAGCCAGGACAGGATATTTTCAGAAAAACAGGTGAATACTCCCAGAGTATTTATTTATCAGTAGACATGATATGAGTTCACGTGAGATATAGGGAACGTGTACTTTACATGCCCGATATGTATTTTTAACTGAGAGACAAGATCAAACTGTAAGGGTTCATCTACTAGCCCACTCTACAGGATCTTCCAGCTGTCTCAACCGCGCAACAGGAGGAAGACTACAGCGAGTCGAATTACTGATGGATTAGTTAACCAAATCACGAATTCGTGGGCTCGTGAAGTCGTGAAAGGCTGGTAAGCAGTAGTTGTGGAGATTAAAGATAAGATAAGCCAGGCATCTATAACTATACTACAGGTCAGGGACTGCGCATGAGTATGTTATTCAAGTTAGCAGACTAGATAAGGAAAGTTAGACACCAGGTAAAGAATAGATAAAACAGCAGAGGCTACTGGTACTATAGTGGGACCTTAATCAGGTATTAGAAGAAAGAGGTGAACGGAGAGCCAGAAGAGAAGAGTGACAGAAAGAGAAGTTAATTAATTATAGATAAGCTGATAGAATAGACAGAGTAATACTACTACTACCACCAGCTCGACTATTAGCAGCGACGTCCACGAGAGTGAAACCAGTGGGTGTCAGCCATGCAGCAGGATATATTACAGTAATATTCGCTATAACATGATAATGGGCCAATAGAAACAAACCATGGTATGTATAAATTATCATTGGCAAGCTTGGGCTGTTAGTCTGGATATGGACCTCCTTGCCTCCCCCAATTCATCCTCAGGTACGGCTGATGGCTCGCTTCGTATTCACTATTTATTGTTCTGACTTACTGCGACTGGCTACCATAGTACAGTTGATCGGACCTGTTGCATCACAACTCGAAAAGTGTGTCCTTAATCTCCACGGGGTGGTATACCGCCTGGCAGAGGGGGTTAAGGCTCTTCGGCGATGTACGGACCCTCGATCTGGAGAATGACAAAAAGACATTGCATGGACTAATGGGGTAAGCTAGTCTACAGGCTAACCTCCATAGTGCACCTGTTACGGTTCTTGTCTTCGACTATTACTAATTAAAGATAGAGTACTCCATTAGCTGACTCATAACTTCCTCTGGACTAGAATCGCGCTGGGAAAAGGAAGTATAACAAATGAATAAAAAGAGGATATATAGAGATAGAGGGCATAGCAATAAGACATGGAAGCCTATATAAGAAGTGGCTTCTGGCTAAGATAACTATATCCACCAATAACTGACGCATGGCCGCAGCGTAATCCAATAGGGTTCAAATCCGATATCAGAGATCAAATTCCGAAGACGCTAAGTTAAGTTAAGCCAACCTATTTAATCCTGATCTCCATAATATTTCTATAAAACTCTCCAGTATGACTGCTGGGAAATGCGAGGGTACATAATCCCTTTACTGTATAGAACAGTTACTAAGCCAAAATAGTCTCTTCTAGTTAGATAAGACAAGTATATTAAATCTTGATATTAGTATGAAGTACTATCTAATATTTTCCATTGGTCAACATCCATCTTAGATCCTGACAGTGATAAGCGGTATAATCTGGCATCTTCTATTAATAATATTCTAGTCTATCTCTATCCAGTGCAGGCCTGATAATTATTAATTCAGTCTTTTTATAAAAGACCAGGAGCATGCCACCTCTTACTATTATTAATAGAATATCTCCATCCACTGGTAACTGACTAGTCCACGGACTTTATAAAACACATTATTCATGGTGGGTAGCCTTTCAAAGCCCACAGATATTTCAGGAGCTTATAATATTCTATAGCTTAAAAGATAACTTAAGAGTCCAGTTAATTCAAGAACATATACCTCGCAGTTATTATCTACTAAAATTAAGTAATAGTCAGCCATTTACTCTTCTTATTTTCTAGATCTTTATATAGGTCTTTCAGTACAAGGAACTTGCTATACTGCACAGAAGTTCTGTATTAGAGTAATAACACCACCAGTATATTCTTTTATTAATTGAACTTCCAGATTCATACCTTAAAGACCCTGATATAAGCATTATAAGTCTTAATCTTAATAATAAACAGAATATAGTACTTTTTAATATTTTATTCAAGCAGAGAACTCTTCTTATCTCAATATATTAATTTTTTTATTATATATATTTTACCTAACTATTACCTACTATGTAGCTTGCTAGATACTGGTATTAAACAGTAAATCCAGTATTTTTCTTCTGAGTATCTATTGTACTATAATCTGTTTTTCACTAGATCCTACTATAACATCATCACTATTATACACGAGCTGCGCTCACAGAAACAGTTAAAAATTTTATTAATAAAAGATTTAAAAAATAAGTCTTTTTACTCTCTTGATATATCTCTCTTTCTTTTTTATATTATATCTAGAAGTCAGTCACTGTTTTATTTTCCACTCATTTAATTTAAAAGGTTATATTATAATATTCACTTTCATTAACTAGACTAAATATCTATAAACAAAATAATTAAAAAAGATATTATATTTCTAGTCTTTACTAGCCCAGCTCTGGCAGGAGTCATTACCCGCGGTAAAGAAGTATATTAAAATCTATTCTGATATTAATTCTCTTAACCATGCTGACATGAAGTTTAATTATCTTAAGTCTGCTGGTGAGCTTAAAGTCAGGACTATAGTTAATATTAATTATTTTAATAAAAGATTTACCCTAGTGCCCTGTTTACTATTATCTCTAATACTTAGATAATAATTATTACTATTAATACAGTCTCTCCTCTCCTTCCTATCACTTTTTCTACTGGGGAGCCTAAGCCGACTGGTATTGTATCTTATCCCAAGCCTAATCTAACTGGAATGGTCATTCCTGTGAAGCTCAGTACCAGTTATGGTACTACTTTTATTAAGTCTACTACCAGCCATGGTACCATTCCTGCTAAGCCGACTACCAGTCATGGCACTGCTCCTGTTCAGCCAACTACCAGCTTTAGTACCGCTTTTATTATGGTTCTAGGCATAGACAGACCAGGAGCTAAATATAATCTCGCTAATCCTTATAACAGTAAACAGTGACTATACCAGGATATAGATAAACTATATACAGTGGAGTTATCACGCCCGCCCGCAGCCTGAAATAACAGGGATGAATTCTCTGACCTGTATTACAGGCTGTCACAGAATAAATAGCCTTGTCTACAGAAGCAATAAAAACATCTCAAAGCTAGAAAATAATAAATTAATAAAATAATATAAATTATTTAGAATGGGCCCTCTAACTTTTTATAATATATAAAAAAAGAATACCATGATATCCCCACTACTAAAACTTATAAAAGATATTTCAACAAAACACTTTGAATCAGGATTCTTCCAGGATCAGCTATATTTAACCCAGAAAATACTTCTAATCTTTTTATAGTATCCGGCTCCCGCTCGTCTCTCAGCCACATGACATTAAAATAAATAATCCGCGTGATCAATGGTCCACATGTATAGACAGATTACTCAGTAATCGTTCATTACTTCGTCACGAATTTTCGGATAAGAAAAAGGTGGCTGGTGATGCCATTACCCATCAGCCGAGCTGTTTCGCTCTGCATCAGCCGCCGACACGTCCGGACCTTGCTCCACCTGGGAAAAACAGAAAGTATCCTATTTAGCCCGAAATTAATCTATATCCACCTCTCCCTGGCGGGCCGGTCCCTGCTGCATGGCCAAGCTAAAATAAGGATAAAAGCTGCTGAACTCCTGTGTGTCATACTCCTTCCAGCCCAGTGCCTCAAGATCAGAAAATAGTACATCTGTCACCTCAGGAAGTGCCACCTGCGTCTGGTTCGTTGATAGCTGAATCATTCATAGAAATCCCTTGGCTGGGGGAAGCGCCGCGAAAACACCTGGGCAATAATGCAAAGCTCAATGAAGGCATTTCAGTTCTTGGCAGAGTCCGGCGACTCCATGAAGAGTAAACATGCCAATGCTACACCACTGGATCATCAGCAGCACCATTCGGTCGATGCCCCACTCGTCGCGATGAACTCGCAGCAGCGCCGCCACCGAGCGCGCCGGCAACAGGCAGAGCTCTCGTGCATGGGCGGCGGCGGATACGTCGAGGGCGACCTCACGCTTAGACCATAGAAATCCAAAATCAGATAACAGTGGTGTGGTAGAACATACTACAGGGAAAATTAGTAAGTCCAGTAATATAAAAAAATATCATGATATAGCAAGACACTTACTGAAGATTCCAGAATATAAAGAACAGTTGCTACTTCCGCGCTCAAGCATAGCAGTAAATGCGCATAATACTTCTAGAGCTATTTATAGATGCTATCAACAAATCCAATTATCTGTAAAGGGGCAACAAGGTGCTCTACATCATGAAAACCCATGCTGATCCGTATCATGATGCAGCAAAAATCGCACCAGCGGTTGAATACGCAACATCGCCATGGGTTACGGGGATACGCGGACGCTGCGGAGGTTTGACGTTGATATACTTCATCAGTAACACCATTGCCGTTCTGTACCCCAATCATAATCAGCAGACGTCTTCCCGAGGGAGAGAGAGATAACTTATAAAACAAGATTAAAGATCTCCCAAAGACTTCTGTTTATAATATTCTTAACTATAATATCTGGCTTCTGCTAGGTAGATGGCTTTCCGCATACTCATCTGCCATTTAAATAACTAGATCCAGATATATCCAGCCTAACCAGTCTTTGTCTATCAGAACCATCCTGCAAGTCCAGCAATATTAGTATGGCCTGTATAATATACCATTCAAACCACTTATCAAATAAACAAAACCAGAAATCCTTGAATAATCAGAACTGTCATTTCTCTCTTCTCTTCCCAGGAGCTGACAGACTTCTTTATAAAAATAGTCTCCCCGCGTAAGCGTGTTATGAGGAACGGTGAATACTTCAGTGTAATCAGAATAATACTAAGAATAATACCAATTTAATTTTATACTGCAGTGAATTAATTATCTCTAAAATGATCAGGCGCACCTACACTGGCCTCAGAGAATGGCATTCACTAAGAAGTATAAATAAAACCGGTACTACAGATTTTCAGCCTGCATATCCCGGAGGAAAGCATCCTTATCCAACCTGTAAAAAAAAGAATAAATCCACGTCAGCCACAGTAAAATAAGATAGGATACAAGGTTATCATCATTAATAACAATGGTCCATGGCTTCGCAGGGACTCAATAAACAGGGCTATCAGTGAGACAGCAGACATCCAGAATACAACAAAGATTTCAGGTTTGAAAAGACAGTTGCTTCTTGTTACTATCATCAAAGAAATAAGAGATCTGGCTTTAGATCTCACACAATTCCAGGGACTATTTAATTTCACGCCCGGTAAATTAATGCTCCAGGAATATTTGGAGTTCCTCAAAAAAGACATTACTCTGGATAAGATACAAGAACTGCTTCAGGCGTTTACTCTCACTCTCCCGCAGAATATCAATAAACTGTAACAGAGTCTCTCCGGCTTCTTCAAGATACTCTAGCTTCCGCTTCGTGGTATATTTGCGGCGCATGTCGGCCATCGCGTCGACCAGACATGGGATACCGTTTGCCACACAGTGTTGACATGGTGGGTCACCTCTGCACTTGCGGGGGGGTCAGCCGACGAAAGACGCTTCAATGCGATGGTATAAGATGTTGAAACGACGTTTTAGGTCAATACTGAAGTCGTAAGAAACGCTTGATTCTTCGCTATCTAGGCGCGCTTGGAGGAGCGGTTGAGGTTACGGAGTTCGGGTCACGTGACCTCGACGACTAGTAGTCTACTGAGATTACGTTCCAACAGGAAATCTATAAGCTAAATCCCGAGTTAGCATATGCTTCTGATACTGAAGAGACGCGTCAACAACTTATACAAACAGCAAAAGAAGCCTGGCATGCTATTGAAGTAAGGATCTTGACTGATTTATCATGAACTATGCCTCATCGTGTTAAGGCAGTCATTGAAGCAGAGGGTTGGTATACAAAGTATTGATTTTTGGAGGTTTATGTCAGGCAGAATTGATTATTTGGGTAAGCGGTCTAGCTTTGATCAACCTAACCGTGTTCGGGTGTTCCAAATACTTCTTACACCCCACTGTAACGTGTCTATCGGATACCACCAGTACCGAAGCGGACAAGCCTGCGGGCTGCTCCAGTCTTGGCCCGGCCTGTTGCTGGCGGTTCTTCCATCCGCCCAATCATTGCCTTTGGTGCTAACGCGGATCGGGAACTCTCTTTCGGCCCCCTTGTCGGAGCCGGCAGAACCCAAATAAATACCCTTGGGAATTGTCAAGCTGCACCAACCAAGTCTCTATCAATCATTCATATTCCTCCCAAGGCCTAGGACAAAGCTGGCCCCGTCTGGACTGCCTCTTTGGGGCTAGGCAGCCATGCCGCGGGTGCCTTCTGAATTACCTATTCCCAGTTGGGAGGATGTGCCTTGCTGGGGCGCGTTACATTGTGTACACAGTACTCCGTACCTGATGTACCTTACTAGTCCGAGGCCGGGTCTAACTCTCTTTTCCCTCGCCATGAACACAGGGGACCCGTGGCCCAGTGAGTCACCAGGGGGTGGAGGCTTCCCATCGGCAATGGCGACGGGCGGGCACACTACTGATCGCCTTCTGCAGAAAGTCACGGAACTACGTGCGCCAGTTATCGAGTCGCTGGCGATGGCTGCGGTGGACCTGGTCGGCACTCCCAACCCACTCCCGGCGGGTTTCCGGGCGAATTACCTGACGACCCGCGGGCCTGCGACCGGAGCAATGAGAAGTCTTATCTAAGCGTTCTCCAATGCCACTAACTTATGAGTCCATTCTCCCTTCTTCCAAACGTGAATTGACAGGAACCGGTTAGGTTCACTAGCTGTTTTCCAGACAATGCTGCCCGATACACCGCTCAATCGCCCCGGCTTCGGACCATGCTTACGACTCTCTTCGCTCAAGATCTCTTAGCCTAGATGCGTCCGCTTACAGGGGCTGCATTAGTATGCGCGACGCCATCTCATTGTACACGCCTCGTTCGACCCGGTCTTTTGATGGCAATGCGAGGTTCCAGATTGTCCTGCAACATTTAGTAGATATTATCGACTGGAATAGTGCTTCCCCGGCCCTCCCACAGAGGGAGCTTGATATTAACCCATTTTGGACGGACACGCGTGAAGGGAGGAGCCTGGCATCCGGCAAAGCCAGTGACTAAGGCTTGCGTCGTCCAGCAAACAGCATATATTCGAATCAAACTGGATGGGCTCAGACTGAGACAAGTTGGTGCAGGCATGTGTGAAAGGACAGGGAGAGAGCGGACGGGCGCTACGAGCTTTCTTTAACCCAGGACTTTGAAGTGTCGTCCACGATAAGCGGGTACACTGTGCTACTACGTGTCATAGTAGTATAGTAATATACCTGGTAGTTGTGATTATTTTGGGTCAACCTGCGAATTGGATTGTAAGGGCCGGTTTTAGACCCTCACCGCTTCTGAATAGGGTTGGCTCCCAGCATTTCAGGTCGCACAATCCTCCTGACGGGATGGGCCTACCCAGCCTGTCACGAAAATTGGTGGTGATCGGGCCCTCGCACAGGCAAGTCCGCCGTAAGAGTTCTTTTGTCCTGGGCCGGTAGCCCAGAAGATAGCGTTGCGCCACCTGAGCTCGGGCATCAATGAGAAATTTGGCTCCCATGCGAGCAATTCCGAAATCCAATCAGAACTTACCTTGGTGGCGGAAGAGGAAGGGCATGGTCTGGTGGACGGCAGAGGGTCCGCCATCGCTAAATCCAAACCAGACCAGACCACCAGACCACAGAAGCCAGCTGAGATGCAGCAGGATGAGCACAGGCAGACACACCCAGCCATTAATCTTCTTAATCCAGTAGCTGCCGGTCATGTGAGGCCATGATCACGCCCATTGCCCCGTTATTGCATGGTTGATTGTTTGCTCTCCTCCCCCTCGCTTACTTCAAGTTTTGCATGCGCTTTCCCCCAATCATCCCCCTTACTCTCTTCCCCCGCTCCATTGCCACCCCCGTCCCGTATAGGCTATTTGGGGAAAGAGCCATCGCGGCATCTGTTCTAGCGTTCACGTTAATTAATGGTAGCTCCGATTGCGGGTCGAAGGTCCGTGAGACCACGCTGCCATCTCGGAGGAATCTGAAGTCCAAGCCTGCCGACTCAACCACCAGGTGTCGGACGAGGCCACTGGGAAATCGCCCGACGTCGCGTTGGCTGCCTCACATAGTTTTGGCCCTATCAAGGGAAATTCCATTGTTTGGTTTCAGTAACGTCAACTGCTTCCTTGCATTTGGTGAGCTCTCCGATGACACCAAGACCTGGTATTAACCTGGTCTCGTGCAGCTGTCATGCCTCCACTCATGTGGCTGAGGCAGAACCTACCGTTCTAGGCAGTGGTAATCTTCACTTTTCTGGTCACAGGGCGTATCATCACCCAGTTGCACCAGAGCTAAATCAACATCAGCTAAGCTCAATTATTTCCTCTGTACTTCGATCTTCAGACATGAGTAGTGTATACTACCGGACATCCCCGGGCTGAGGGATAGACTGTAGCCAATCATGCACTCGCAGGAGCGAAATCCTACCTATCCTGGCACTGGGCGATCTTGACAGGCGTGCCCGGAATTCCCGCCCCTCTTCTTCCACCTCCCTCTCGATCTTCACTGTTATAGATATAAAACGTGAAGCTTCGTAAAGGAATTCTAGTAGGCTTTTGACTACTTTCATGGAAGACGTCAAACCGGTCTCCCTTTTTCCCGGCTTTCATTGACCGGGGAAAGACAAGCTGATCGTGAAAAGACTATTATATCTCTAACTGCATTCAGTCTACTGAAGCAAGCGGTTGCTGTCATCTGAAGAACCACTTATAGCTTTGAGTCGTTTTTGGGTTACATAGAAATTATTCAATTGGCAGAATACGGTCCGTCGTGTGTAGATGTCCTATTCCTGGTCCTGTATCAAATTTTGAGAATGATCCGTTGCCCATGAAAACAACACTGCTCGTCAAACAAAGTCGCCTATCGTGACCTTTGCCTTGAAGTGAAAGTCGACACCCTTCGATTTCAGATACGATTCGATAGGCATGGTGACCGACTCGTAGATTGCATATATGGTTCGATCTAGAGCCTCCACGTCGTTTAACCGTTAGATTTCGGCCAAATGCCTACAGAGGCATCTTCTGAATTCTACGAGGCTGTGCCATGGCCGCAGAGCGAAGCTGTTCATATCCACTTAGCCTAGTAAGCATGATAAGTCTGAATGACGTAACCTTCGTAGTGGACCACAGCGTCCAGAAGTTAGTCTTGAGAAATGCCTCATCGAAGGCGCCCTGGCTTTCTCTCAGAGGATACGTCCACTTTCGAGTATTAACTTGATCAGTTCCATTCGGTATTTGGGCCCGATCTAGAGGCTTCTGGCTTGAAGACACTCTGGGCCCGTGTTCGCGTCGCGGCCGTTCGTCTGGGAGAAGTTGCCCGGTCAAACTCTTTGATACTATCCAGTAGTGACTGCTTCGGGTTATCCGCATAAGGGACTAGGAAAAGAAGCTGCTCTACGCATCGATCATGGAAATAGGGCAAGCTTCCAGTGTATTAAGTGTAGCCATTCTCTGAGTTGCCACGGCTTTTGATACCACTGCCTGCATGAGAGTGGACATCCGGGATGGGGATATTCGCCGCATGGACACCCGTGTCATGAAGGGGACGGACCGGCCCGGAAAGAGAAGCAATCCCACTGCCTATGAGCCAGGCTTGGGTTGTTTTTGGATCCCGCTTTGGACCCTCCGTTTGTGCTATTCGTCTCGATGATACCGATAGATTATATAGTAGCCGGTTGTTCAATCATACGAGATAGAGATGGTAGATGACAAGGGAAACTATCAATGACGAAATATCATGTAGCTCACACAAAGGACTATTTGAGTGGCTGCTCTTCGATACCAGCAGGACAAGTGCAGCAATACCGTACGGGCTCCCCCCGAAAGTCACCATGTCATACCATCATAATGAACAGCTTGTCATAAGACGGGATGCCGGCATACGAGGATAAGAGCACGGGCGGCGTAATCAGCATGCTCTTCCGATGCGGACTCTAACATCATTTGCTGGAAGGTATCTGGGACTTTCGTCGACCCGAGAAGAGTTGTCTAGTATGTCCTTGTTTATGTGTGCGAGGGATCCGCGGTTAGAGAAACCTAAAGTTGGGCAGCTCGTAATCTAGGCAGATCCATCCATAATGGGGACCAGCCATGCCAAATGGAACGTCAGGGTTGCGGCATCATCATGCTGATGGATGTCACATCTGCGTCAACACAGGGTGGGGGCGCCCTTGTTCTATGGGACTGCCGAAAGCTCCCCCCTCCGGCCCCGCGTTCGGCAACAAAAGCCCCCTCATGGTTTCAAGGGAAGCAACACCGACGGCAATAACCCTGTATATAAGAGATAGAAAATCCAGCTATAGTCGGGTTGGGATCCTACATGGTGAGCATTGTTTTTTACCTAGGCCCGGAGTCTATGACGTGATCGAGCAACAAGACGCCAATTGCCCCTAAGAAAATGACCACCGCTAGTTCACGATTCGACGCAGAGTCCTGGTCTGGTAGACCACTAAATGTATGACAATACATTGGCCTCTTAGGCATTAGATAGATTTCTAACTCCATGTTCTAGGTCGTTTACGCTGGAGTTACGGAGCTTATCTGCGATAACTCCGGCGGAAGAGTTGCAATTGCCGTTCGAAATCTGACAGATCTGGTCGACTTCCTTGTGTGTACTTGGCACGCTCCCCGTCCCAATGTATCGGACTATGCGACCGGCGCGATAGTCGCAGAGCTGAAAAGGTATAGAGAAAAGCACGCAGAGAAAATAGTCAGCGCTGCTCTCCATCAGTCTCTTGTTTCCAGGTGTCCATCTCTATGCTCGCGACTGTGGAGCGAGCTCGACATTGTGCCCTTGGTACTCGAACATAAGGATAGGGAAAAACGCCACGATGACCAGGGCGAGCTGGCGACCTTTTCCGGATGGCATAAGAAGGAACTCGACGAGCAGGCAGATTCAATGGTGCGGAAGTGCATACAGTTAGTGCTGCCTTCAGGCTGAGTGCCAAGACTCATTTGTATAGGTCCTTCGGCATTGGCCATGTACTGCATAATAATATCAATTTCGATGGCTCAGTGGACGTCGACAGAGGCTATCATGCGCATCTGGCTAGGGCAGAAGACTACGAGAAGACGGTCGATCCTGCAACATGGTCTCTGGCTCAACATTTCGCCCAAGATCTGAGAGTAAGGGAGGTGAAGGTCGCTTTCTTCAGTATGACGTACCAGGGCAGACCTGATGTTCCTACCCGACATGCTCTCTCCAGGTTCACCAAGAGTCTCGGGGCTCCACTGAAATGGTAAAGTTCCTAAAAGTATTTTGGGCTCAGATCATGTATTTTCCTAACATTTATTCGCTCAGGTTTGTCTCGAAGCCACAGCCAGGGATGATTCCTCTCGTCCGGAAGATGCAAGACACCCTGGAGGGACTGGGTGATCCACTGTCGGATATCACTGTCAACGATGAGCTATTGATGCTCGACTTTGCGTACGCTAACGCCAGGAAGTACTGGCTGTGCGAGAACGGGCCCCTTCGGCCTCGCGCAGAGGGAGGTGTCGACGTAGTAATCATTGACAGTGCGCCACTTTTAACATTGGCTCTACTGTCTAAGCAGCAAGACCCCAAGCGGCCTGTCATTTTTGAGAGTAGCCTCCAGCCCCAGGGCGACTCGCTTAACGATCCTAATAGTCCGCAATCTCGAGCATGGGACTTTATCCGAGCCAGGCTAACTCACGTGGATCTGGTGGTGTCGCTCCTCCCGAAGGAACTTGCGCCGCGTATTATGCCCGAGGAAAATGTCGGCTACATGTCATTTACCATTGACCAGTACGACTCTGGACTTCTCTGTATAACTTCATCGCATGCTGATGCTAGTTTAGACTCGATGGTCAGAATAAGCTTCTGACTGGATGGGACGTTGGCTTCTATGGCCGTGAGTTCAGCGCCCTTTGTAGGTCCCTGCAGATGTCTATTATACACTATCCAAAGGGTAAGGATCCATGTTCACAGTACTAGCTTTGTCACTGACCTTTTCCCTTCATGTAGAGCACTATATCCTCCATCTATCTCAATTCAGGCCTGGCGACGGTACTTCCTGCCTTCTTCACTCTTATCAGAAGTTTTGCGACACCTATGTTAGAGAGCATCCGGGACAGCAAGTTCCGAAGTTACTAATTTGTCATCCTCGACCGTTCCGAACTCCGAAAAGCTCCTTTTTCTACGATGTGGCCATGTCACAAATCGACAGTAGTGAGAGCCTATCTGCGTCCGTTTGTATCATCCCTATTGGAGCCGTGGATCAAATGTGGAACGCCGTGCTCACGAACGCAAGAGCGCTTGTACAGCTGTCCACATTGCATGGGATCCCTGAAGTGCTCCTCGGAGCCATCCAAAAGGGAACGCCAGTGATTAGTACCCGGGGTGCCGAGTTATTTCCCTTTGTGCACGAATCAGAAAATGCTATACTGGTCGACAAGGGGGATAAGGACGGGATAGCTCGGCATTTTTATCGTATTTTCAGTGACGAGAAATTTTCCCAGCGCAAGGCAGCGCCTGCGTTGAAGAGACTTCCCGATGAGCACACCACTGTCGGGAATGCAGTCAGCTGGTTGTATCTGGCATCGAAGCTGTCTCGGGGCGACAAGTTTGAGCCTCGGGGTAGAGGAATTTTTAAGCTGGCCCGAGAGGAGGCGGGGGATAATGGGTATGATTGGCATGCTGTATAGTTGTCAGTGGTCTGACGAGAAACATCTGTATAATGTTCACTTAAGTGGGAATTTCCTCTAGTAACCTTTGTCGCATGCACCCTCTATACTAGTCGGAGAGTATATCCGAAGCGGGCCAGTTCGAACCTGCCAATCTGGGAGGTTCTGTCAGGAGTCCCACTTGACTGGCACACGAAGACTGCTAATCGCGCAGCTGGGATTTTCGTCTAGTTGTCTTGCAATTAAGTTTGCCAAGAACGTTAGGAATCCACTGTGGTGAGATGGACCTTGTAACTTTCTGTACCCACCCGCGAGAGGTATTAATTAACGTAATTTTCCACTGCTCCCTCAAGCGGTCCAAAAATGTCGTTAAAACTCATCCTGAATAGTGGTTGGAGCCGTTTCATTGTCCAGCAGTGAAGAGTTTGAAGGTCGTGCCGACTGAGATGGATGGACATTGATATTTATTTGCGGAAGCGCCGAGCCTGACATGAGATTGTTGGAAACCTGGCTTAGTTTCGAAAGGCGTTGACGATCTTCTGCATATAGCTGTTCCCGCACGTCGTTGGGAACATCATCATGGGTCTCCAGGATACCCCCTTGTTCCACATTCTTAACAGGGGTTCCAGAATAATGTTTTGAGCCTGTAATGCTTTTTACTCGCCGGACCCTGCCAGCAATACTGGCCCTCGTACTGGCAAGGAGGCCCTGGGAATCTCATTTTCCGATATACATCTCGCTAAACTGACGGTTGCCCGGAGCATTCCTCCGCATCAATCTGGTCGTCCCGTAGGCGAAGCATTCTGCTAGTTACTGAGGAGGTTCCTCTTTTGCCTGTCCTCCTGTACGAAGAGTTGTCCTCCTTATAATTGATAGAGAAGCATTTCCTTGGGCCGATGAAGGAGATTTTGCCACATGAGGATTTGCTTATATATAACTGTCCAATCAATGTCAGCCTTTTCAAACCGCTTTGTATTATCGCTGCGAGCGTTTATCTACGGAAACCACAACTATAGTATCATCAAGCCTCACTCGGCGATCACGGTGTATTTTCTGGAGCAACACGCGTTCCGCCTCTTGCTTGATTTGCTGCCAGTATGAACTAGGTGTTGCATCTAGGTCTTGTTCCGTGTCCTTTGTCAAGACTCTGGTATTGTGAGTCACTCTCTACTCAATTATATACGGCATATAGGAGGACTTTCATCGTCAGGTGCTCTATTTCCTAGTCCAACACTATCAAAGGCCCGTGCTTGATTGGACTGTGAAACTAACGGCGGGGAACGTTCACAGGAGGGGCATGAACTACACTCAGAAGGGTCCGTTCTCGGTCGTAATTACCGGGAGTAGGAGCATACGAAGGAGTGCCTTCCCAGGTATAAGCTTGAGAAGGAATGTAGTTGCTGATGGGGGGGTATGTCGCATCATCAATGCATAGAATCCTGCCGAGAAGCCTAAGACGAGGATCCCTCAATGTTAGCCCTCACTCGTGTTTATTACTTATTATACCAGGGTACTAATCCAGACAGGCCAAAAAGAAATATAATGAGTGTCATTTCGTGTTGCGCCGTTTAGCTTTTGCATTGCCCCAATGAGCAACTTCGACGACAGACGGTAAAGATAGGAACAGGAAGGTGGTGGTGGAAGGTGATTGCCAGACCGATATGGGGGTTCGACTAGTTTGCGTGGAAGCTTCTAGAGTTCCAGTTGATCGATACTGGGGGGTACGGATAACCTGTACAACATCACGATATTTTACAGTTTTCGTTGTGTATTCGGATTCGGATACACGGATTATAGTAGTTCCGAGCCTTTACTTGACATAGTAAAGCCCGAACACCTTCAGGGAAACTTGAAGAGTATAAATATTTGCGCCACTTTTGCAACCAGCTGTACCGTACAGGCAATCAGCTGTAGATAATCGAACATTGCAGGTGGTACCAGGTGACGCAACGGAGAGACGATTCGGGAAAAAAAAGGAGTATAGGAGTGAAGAATATCCGGCTCCTTTCTGAATTGAGACCGTGGTGGTGTGCCGAGCGGAAACTAAAATCGGCCCGATGGCGATCCCGCCAGCGGGTGATCCCGAAATCACCCCAAGAACACCTGAAAACTCTGCAAGGGACGATGGCGAGCAGACCCTGGCACCAGCCCATAGGGGTAGGAGAAGGAGAACACAAAACATTATGATCCCACCTCTGGACTTCAATGCGCCAGATGATACCAGTAACCGCATCACTAACCAGATGGTCTGGGCATTGATTCTCAGCCTGAAGAAAACCATCACTCACTAAAACATTGTAATCGAGTCAGCCAGAACGGAAATCCAAGAGATCAAAGCTGGCCAGGAGGACCTACAGAAGGAAAATACTAAATTACAGGAGGAGATACAGTCCCTTTGATCTCAGGTTAAAACACAGATCTTATCCACCCCCAAATCATGGGTCGCAGTCGCTGCAGCAGCGGCAGGGAACACGCTCGAATAATCCTTGAATACCATAATCCCGCGACCCTGAAAAGAACCAAACTGTGTCCGCATCAGCACCGCGGCCACGTTAGATGAAGACATCGATAATAAATGGTTTATAAGATTCCTACCTACCGAAGCAGCGAATACACACATCAGAACAGCCCTACTGAACGCAGGAACTACCAAAGAAGTGTAAGTGGCAGGAATTAGTATAATAAAAACAGGCTATGTCATTCGATTCCGGGATGCCCAATCCGCCGAGACCGCCCGGAACAACACTGAGTGGCTCGATGAGCTGGGAAACAAGACTAAAGTGAAATCCAGGTTCGGGATTGTGGTTCATTGAGTTCTGACGGAGGAATTCGAGTTGGACGCGAACAAAAAGGGGGGGATTGAGAAAATCGTGATGGAAAATGACCTCTGCGAGAAGGGATTCCAGGTCGAAGATGTTGCATGGTTGAAGAAGAGAGACATGCCTATGGGCAAATCAGCCATGATGGGGATCTGGCTGGACTCACCGGAGGCAGCAGAATGGATCATCAATAATGGACTACTTGTCGGACAGAGGTACATCGGAAGTGTGGAACCCTATCGGGTAGAAAAGAAATGATGCCGGCGCTGCCAGGGATTCGGCCATCTGGCCTGGTCATGCAAAGAGCGAGTGAAGTGCGGGTACTGCACGGGCCTGCATGACTAATGCTATTGCTTCCCTGGGATCAGGCCCTGATGCTCAGACTGCAATGGAGAATACCTGACAGGTGACTGAACATGCCAGGTACTGCTGAATTCCTGGTCTTCCCCATGACAGCAAATCTCCGAATCCTACAGTTGAATATGATGGAATCCCGGGCAGGATGGAAGCCCATATTAATGACCATTATAATCAGAATCTTGATCTTCTCCTTATTCAAGATTCTTGAGATGGGTCGGGGGTGCGTAAGACTATCTAAAGGCTAGTAATATTATAGCAGCTAGATGATGATAATGAAAATGATTTCAGTTATCCTGATCTCTTGTTTAAGTGATATGCAGGCTATTACAACTACATCTCTGCCGTCGCGTGTTTATTGTATATAACCCCGTTTCTTAGGAGTGAACTTTGAGCCTTGCCTAGGGGTCTGTATTAGTTATTTGTTTTTAGTTATATCCTCGCGTATTCCATGATCCGCGGTCACGAAGTCGTCGAGTTACTTCTGTAAAGTCTAGTATAGTCTTCACGGGGCTGGTTTTCTTATTATCTTTTAGTATAGTTAAGATGTCAGTGAATGCTTCTCCGGCCTCTCTGCATAGAATCTGCTGTGAGATTCTTAGTTCTGGGCAGTCGAGTATGACATGGGTGGCGGTTTTCTTGGCACCAATCCGCAGTTATTATCATCGTCTCGGATCCGTACAGCTTTCCGTAAGGTGCCAACCAGCAGTGGCCAGCCCGCAACTGGGTAAGGAGTAGGCGCGGTCTCGTGGCAACGGGTCGTATAGTCGCGTGTGGATGGCTGGTAACTCAGTGTCGATTCACTGGAAGTGGCCGCCTTTCGGGATGTCTACTATTTATATTTCCATTCTTAGTAGATGTTTTTTTGGGTGGCCACTCTTAGGTGTTAAAAAGAATATATCTTATCTGGGCTGACTGCTCTTTTGGCTGGTGTGTCTGCTATATTATTTTCAGGGTCATCACTGTGTCCCAGGATCCATTGGAGGCGGAAAGGAATGTCTTGAATCTTCAATACTAAGACTACCTGCGGAATAGCATGAATATTTTATTATCCTGACTTTTTGCGTGGATTCCTGGTCGCCTGTAGGACTGGTATATTATTACAGAGATTATTACTGTTTTGTGCTCGTAGTATTATCGCGGCCCTGGACCTCAGCCTTCTGTTTTAGAGACGAGGCTAATAGTATAGAATATACTGATAAGCTCTATTATATAGAGACTAATTTGTTATTGAGCTTATAGAGACTTATCAGGATTCTGTTATTGTCTGATTTTCTTCTAACATTACTGCTGCTGCCCCAAGATGGCCGTTTTACTTTGATATATCTAAGTTAATAACTGTACCAGATAACATGAGTAAGGCTGTGGCTTTCTTTATTATTATATCTAGATCTGGTTCAATATTAATTTCTATAAAAGCAGGGGCGCTTTACGGGTTCTAGTCTCAGATTAATTATTTCCAGTTATTCAAGTCTCATCGTTCTCATTAATTCAGCGAGTGGGAACTGACACCAGGATCTATATTATTATATTGTCTCCGAGCTCTCGACAAGATGTCGTGTATCAGATAGCTACAAGGAAATGTCTGCAGATAGATTATAGTATTATATTCGAGTTGTAGGTGCGTCAGTAGTATGTATATTTCCACTTCCATTGTTACCGTACATTGCCATTGTTCGAAATGCAGACAGGGTTCGGATTATGGCCGATCAGTATACAAGGCCGATTGTTGTACTATATCAAGTACTCGGAGGTGCCTCTTATCCTTAAGAAATTATACCAGACCGTTAATATGTAGTCCGTGATAGATATCACGCAGGCCTGGTAGACCTGTCTTATTTAGCCAGGGTGATATTAGTCTTAGTTGCCTGTTCCACTGCCTGCTGTACGTGCTCTGTCCACTCTCAGTTCACAGTCCCAAACCACTCCGAGCGGCTTAGCTATCGCTGAGGATATGATAATTATATCTTATATTACTAATTATACTTTAGTTTTGCTCATGCTTTTTTCTAGTAGAGCGGATGAGTTCAGCCTTTTTTATGGTAAAATATGATCCTGTTTACTTAGCTTACTGCTTAGTATAGAAGATATTCTTCTTCTGGAGCTTCTTAAGGTTTTCTTCTGCAGATTTTCCTGCGCGCCACCGGAAGTAGTTGTTAATAAACACGGATATGCCTCCGTGGTAGTCTACTGGCCAGTCTACCAGGTTAGAGTTGAAGAAAATAAACAGAATCAGTAACAGGGGCAAGCCTTGAACCAGGCCCGCGTTTTCTAAAGGTAACATTAGGGACTTAAAATCATTGAATAAGATATTTACAGACCGGCCTTGCATAAATCTGATAATCCAGGTTCATAACATAATTGGGAACTCTTTAGCCTTGAGCTATCAGCTGAGGATGTTTCTATTAACCCTATTATATGCTCCTTTAAGGGCGAACGCAACCAGTGTTATCACTTTCTATGATACCATGCTCTGTTGATAACATCCCTCAGCTGATCCTTCCCGTGCTGACGCAATGATCCTTATGTTCAATGCTCTCCGGTCGATTCCCAAGAAGGTCATGCAGAAAAGTGGCTCCAAATTCACTTGGAGACTGGATATCCGAAGCTTTAAATCGGCGCTGGCCAAGAGCACCTCGGCGCGATGCTTCGAAGGTCTATTGCAGGTCATATTCCAGCTTCGTCGTGCGATGCGGCTGCTGACCAGAAAGCACGCCTTTTCCTTGGACAAGTGACGGGGGAGGGAGGCCTTACATTACTGGTAGAGTTGGTGAACAAAACCATTTCCACGAAGTCAAAGTTCGGCGCGAGGACACTCTTGTCAGGACTGTGATGCCGTCTACAACATAGGTGGATGTCTTTACAGTAGCATAAAGATATAAGTTTGTGTCATGGCGGCTTTCGGACCAGGGTTATGGATAGCTCAATAGTCGTCAAGAGTGTCCAAAGGGCGTGCCTTTCTAGTATGTGGCGTAGCATGCCTACCGCCAGACAACTAGCCTAGGCGCAATACATCTGACTATCCAAATGTGGCAATTGTTCCTCCTGAGTGCTTCCTAGTGTACTATACCCCATGAACAGACTGAATAGACCGAAAAGAACGCCATCTCCCGGGGTAAAAGTCGACCATGATCGACTATCCAAAGAGTAAGTGCCGAACCATGCAAAAAGACGTCAATGAGCCTGCAGCCCCTATAAGTCTTGGCTGCGAGAGCTCCACCCAACGATATGCCCTGAATTATGATGTATGCCATCGATATCATAGCAGTACGAGATCGTATTTGGCCTGTTTGTTTGCGACGTGGACGCATAGCTTGAGGTCGCTCTTGTCGGTCGCCTTTTCGAGGAGCCGATCCTAAAATCTTGTCAAAAACAGCCGCTCTGTCGACTCGCTACAAACTTGCGATCAAAAACTTATCCAGCGACTTATCGGGCAGGTTTCTAAGGGATCTTTGGGCCTTGGAGCTTTATCTTTCCTGTCCTGCACTTGTAGCCATCAGGCTCCTCATGACCGTTGCCAGGGCGGTTGATTTCAATGTGTCGGTATTCATGTAAGATGTTTGAATCTAGTAGCTCCGTTTCACGCCGGCTAATATGGCAAAGTCAGTTGTCCATGCTCTTGATGATGACGTTGGCAGGGACTAATTTACCAAGGCGGACCTGCCCCCTTTTGTTCAGCCAGATCGTGTCCGGCCCCAGGGTGGCCAAGGCTCTTCCATGATCACGCAGGAATCGTATTCCATCTAGGGTCTGTTTCCCTCACGAGGTATCCATATTATTAAGATCGTACTATGGCCGCCAATGACACTCACCGACCAGAGGACGCACGCCAGTTCGGTCTCGTTCACCGGCCACGGAGCGGTTAGAATATTGTCCACCGTGATACAGCTGGCTCATTTCGTAGTACGATTCCAGAAGGCGTGGAAATATAGGATGAGAAAGTTGACTGGTAATCTCTAGAAGGCCTCGGATTTGGGGTCGACCCACGGAAAGGCATTGGATGTTCACGACTTCCTGTTTGTGCTTTCGCTGCTGGGCCAGGGTGATTTGCGGTCCGCGACGAATCCTAGCTCGCGGTCCGTACACATCCCACGAGTCCTGCACATAGCAGTTCAAGGTCGAGAGCGCTTTTCGATACTCACGATCGCCTTGTGACCATCTTCCTTCGAAAGCTAGAAATTAATAAAGGGATTCTTTTCTTAACTTCGACTCGGGGTGTCCAGTTTGATGATGCAATTTTCAGCCGGATTCAATTGACCATAAGGTATGAGAATTTAACGAGGGAGTTTCGCAGAGCTGTCTGGTCAACTTTTCCGTCCACGACATGTACGATACAAGGACCTGCCGTTGTTCAGGAGCAGAGCCGATTTATAGCTTCGGATTTCCTGCTCCGAATGGATTCGGAGCCATTTTTCTGCATGACCTTGTCGAGAATCGACCGCAGAGCATTGGACGTAGAAGTCATTGCGTCGGAACGGGAAGGGTCTAGTTGGCGACTGTTCTGAATACCCGCTATACCTCACTCGATGTCAGTGTTCTACAGTTGCAGTTGGGACAGACGAACCAGTCTTTATTTCACCCTCCTCGGTGAACAAGATGCCTCGAGGGGTCAGGCTGGCTAGCTCTCTCGACCGACCGCGTAAGAACTGAAGGCACTGTAACACCTGTGAAATGTGTATAAACATCTTGCATTTAGTAGGAAAGGGACGGCACGTATAGGCCACAATATCTGGGCCACTTCACTTTCGGCGATGTGGCAACTCAACGCTAAAGCCACGTGGAGAGTGTACTCGGGATGGCTCCCACACGAGAGAAATCGATCTGCATACTGGAAAACGTCTAGCAGGCGCAGGATGCTGCGATGAGCGAGCCGATCGATCGTCTGGAGACACACCTCTATCGCCGATCGCTCCACGGCCTGCATCTGGATGTGGACTATGTGGACTACGTTGGCCTTTTTTCCTCGATGTCCAGCCAGCACCATTATTTGCCCATAGTCGATGCCTGCACAAGGTGCATATATTTCCACGGGTTTCGTGCTAGAATTCCGCGCGTAGCCGGGTTGGGAGTCAAGCGCTGTGGCAGTATGCCAGCTGCCGTCCAATGCCAATCACAGGTTGTTCGATTCGTATGCCGTCCGGGTCATCCCGGTTCCATCAGTTCCACTGTCGTTCTCGTTGCGCAGCTCGCGGACAAACCGTCTGCTTTGCTTCCAGCGTCCGACCTCGGAGAAATTACAGGTTTCTTCCGCAGCTTACGGTGGCACCGAGAGAGTGTTCACTCGCTAAGGTGACCAAAGACGGTTTGGCAAGTCAGAGCGGAACTATCCAGCGTAGCCTTCGGATTCTCCCACTTTCTTTCCGGCCGGTTTATTGCCTCCTGACGTGCACGAACTGTTGCGAGCCAGCCAAGACGTTCCTAATCTTCAGTGGAAAGCTAGTGCAGCCGGTCCGGATAAACCGAGGCACTTAATGGACAAGCAAATCGTACCAGCGAATATGTGAATCGTATCTGTTCGCTGTCATGAACCGCTTTGACCAAATACTGCACACCGGCGCTGAGACATCACCCAACCTAGGAAGAAGCTAGAGGAAATGCAACGGTATTCCACTTCCTGAAGTGATGACATCACCAGCGCCGTAAAGGATATCGATCGCTCCCCGTCATCAAACGATGCAGAAACAGTATTGACTCCATGTCCGTGTACGCGTGATATGTACTGATACAGACACACCGACTTTCCGCAACCCTCAGAGAGAAATCTTCAGCTTGCCATCCAAGGCCCGAAATATTCGCAAGCGATCCAAGTCTCCGTGCGTAGCCCGCAGGCAGTCAAATATGCCAAATCTGAGGAAAGGATCAACTGTCACGGTGGATCGCATACCCATCAGATCGCTCAACCAAGCTCTTGTAGTAGTCTACAAGCACTTCCGGCTCGGGGACAATGCGCCACTCTACGCGGAACAGAAACTCCAGCTCAAGAAGAGCTAGTTCGGTCATCCTGACGCCGCCCACCCGAGCATAGGTCTTGTTGGTCCAGAAGATGTCGCTTAGGCCCTTGCTAGCCACTGTGGCGCTCGCAATAAGGAATCGGTGAATCGTCAGGCTGGACACGGTGAAGGCCGGGTACAAAGCACAGAGTCTATCAGTGTAGTACACCATGCTTAGGAGGATTGGGGGAGATAACGTAGCGTGAGTGGTGAGTCGCTGGAGGTAGTCGTGCACCGAGATTCGCGGCGGCGACCGCGAGTGAAATCGAGTCAAGCGACCTCGGTTCAAGGAAATCGCATCGTTGAACCGGATCAGCTCCATCAACATACTCGAGATCAACACAGCAATATCCTGAGGATCCGCCAGCTCGTAACGCTCCGGCAGTAACTTGACCGCCGGCGTGTCCTGCCGCATTCGTTTCGCCTGAGAACCTTCGCGATTAGCGTGACCCAGGCTCGCGGCCCGCTCACCATCGGCCGGAGAGTCATTCGGGCTGTTACGCTTGTTGGGCCCAGCGGCAGCGCTATCGTGAACAGGCATTGAGGGTGTCGTGATTGGGCACACAGTGGAGGAAAAGGGGAGGCTGCAGGTACGGTCGGGACAGACACATCGTAGTACGACGACCAAAGAAGGACGCGTGGGATTGGAGGCGGGAACGGCAGTGTCAGTAGGCGGACGAGACGTGGTGCTACTATCGCCCCTAGAAGAGTTCAGCCAACATGCATACGACCGCGTGGAATATTCCCTGAGGGTCCGGGAGGTGAGGAGCCAAAGGTATGCAGTGTTGGGGCCGACCGGAGTTCTCGCTGCTAACGGATCGAAGCGAGGGTTGGGTGCAGCAGCAGCAGCAGCAGCGTGCCGGCGGACTCATGACGCAGAGCGGTGGCTGCGGTGGAAACAACGCGAAGGGGGAAGAAGAGGAGGGCTGGGAATGCCGGGATGGAAAAGTGTGAGAGTGGAATGTAAAGGGAATGAGAATGGGAACGATGAGTGGCGTTGGAAGGAGAGGCGGCGGAAGGAAAGGGCGACAAACCTAGCGTTTCCGCCCGATGAGTCCACTACGTAGGCGCACTGGCAGACGCTGTGGAATCTTGTTTTGCTGCGAGGGGTGAAGGCGGCGTGCACGAAGGCATCATGATCTGCCGGGGGTGGTTGATTGAGAGAGCGAAGGATTCAGCTCATCGAGGAAGAGGCTGAAAGGCGGGGAAGAGAACAGGTGGGAGGAAGGATAAAGTAGAAAAGAAGACGAAGAAGCGAGCGAAGCAAGGAAAACCAATAAGTGAGTAGTCACATACTAACAATGACACCGCTCCAGCGAAATCCGACATACAAGAAGGGTAACAATAATTTCAGTAAGTTTTCTCTGAGCCGGCCTGCATATGGGCGAAGATCAGAGAAAGGTATTATTTATCTTCTGCATTCAAGGCGCAGATGTCTGACACACAATGAGCCGATTAGCTGACTCCTTATCCCACGGCTTTCCTCAATCGGTCTGTGAAAAGAGCTGTCCACTGTAGTCAAAACGCTACTAAAAGAACTTTACAAGATCGTTTATACTTTAACATTAACGTAAGTAGCAGCTGCGGCTGCGGCCTAGGTCTTTGGTCTATTCGTTGCTGAATTATCGTAGATAACATTTCAGTTACTATAGTTTCTTTACTGAGCTATAGAGTCTATACAGCATCAATTTGTAACGAACTCTCTCGCAGTGTAGTACTTTCCTTGTTACCGGGATACATACGACCTTGACAACCGTAATCTGGAACAGTACCATAACAGCCTTCTCGATCGGCATTTCCTGCAAGATCTTCAGATATTTTGCCTAGGCTAACCAGGGAAACAGGGGTTTTATATCGGGGAATCGATCTTCGCGTTCAACCAACATCTGCATGCACACGCCTGCATACCTACCCTGGAATGCAACGGTTACTAAGGGAGGACCCTGACAGCACAAGTTTCTGCCGTAAAAGACCGGCACACACTTTGTACTCTGGAGCTTCCGGTCTTCTTTTTCCTTCTACTGATCCGCTTCCCCTTGCCAGTCATCGACTAACATGGCATCCGAGTATAGTCAGTTCGCAGCTATAATCAGTCTACATTGGATTGAGGTTCTGTCCTGGAGCTCACTGATGCAGTGGCTCTGGTTGTGGAAGCTTGACCCACTTCCTGCACAGCGGCATTCTCCTCGCTTGCTGAGTGGGTTAAGTGTCAAGGGCATACTTTCGGCTCCCTCGAATAAACTAATTAGGAAGTTTGTTGATCCCTTACCACTACACCGTCATACCAGCAAATTAACCCTTGACGACCCAGCCTCCCAGGGGCTGCGAAACACAAATACCCTATCCACGATATGATTCCACCAGCAAGTTCCAGAGGGGATATAAAACCATCCGGAAGGGAATCCACTTCTTTACTCCAAAGATTCGCGCACCGGATGGAGGACCCGTTTGAGAGCCTTTTTAGCCAATCACAGAGATTCCCGTGCAGATTACCTATCTCTCTCTTTTCCTTTTCTTTAAGGTTGGTATCATATCAGTCCTTTCGAAATCAGCGTCTTCAGGCAGCCCACAATGAAAAGGATTATGAGTGCTTTCTGGATGCTCTTTCCAAGCTACCTTTCTCCGGCCGCTGCAACCGCATGTTACGCAGCAGATGGATCGCCCGTAGATAACTCCATATACCAGCCGTGCGTTCCCATCACAGGCATTCACTCAATGTGCTGCAGGCTGAACAGCGCGGATAATGAGACGTGCGATCCAACGGGGCTTTGCCTCACGAGTGGAGGAGGGTATCATCGGGGACTGTGCACCGATCAATCATGGAACTCGACGAACTGTTTGCCCAAAGATATTTGCGACAACCAGGTCTGGCCTCCCATGTGTGAACGTGAGATTAAGTACTGATGGTTTCGACCAGCACGGCGGGTACTCAGACTGGACCTACCAACTAACCTCCTGTGGGGACGGATGCTGGTGTTGTGGTAGCTCAACCTCCTGCTGCAGCACACCAGAGACATTCACTCTGGATCCGACAGTGATCAAGCTTGATTCTGCTTCCAAAGCAGCCGCTACCGCTGCTCCTGCGATAACGGTAACTATCATCCCGACGGAGAGTAGCAGCAGCAACGATGGTGAGGTCGACAGGTCGGCAAAGGTCGCAATTGGACTCGGTGTGGGTGTCCCGTTGGCATGCATAGCTGTGGGGATGTTGGGCGGTGGGTATCTCTTAGGCAGAAGGAGTATGAGGAGGGTACTGTCGCAGGTGAACCTTCAACCTCGTGTGAAAAGTGTCCTGCTGGAAAAGCCAAAGGGAGAGATAGGGCGTCCGCTACAGGTTGGCGATGCTCCAAGTACGTCATAATATGTCGAAATTGCGCGGAGTGGGTGAATGATGGACTAGAGAAAGCGATAAAGGGACCGTCCAGAGGCTTACGGTGGTTCCCTTATTTACTGCACGTCCGCTAGTCTGAGTGATTTCACCTCACCGGCTTTACTCTACTGTTTCCTGGTAGTGTGTATTAGTACACTGTATTATTCTATAGTTCACGTAACCCGGCTTGTTCTGATGAATTGTCTCTGATTGCCTGATGAACACCTTGCCTTTAGATCCACTGAACGTGTAGTCTCTACTCCTGCGGTCATTTCTCGCAATTCAGGATGGTTATGCAATGTACAGAGTAGCTTCCGCAAGGGTCACGATGCCCAGCGACACAAGTATTGTTATATATGAATTCCGTGAAGAGGCCGCCAACGCAGATTACGGCTGCTAATAAGGAGTGGTTGCCTGCCCTGCCGGTGAGCCAGGGCACCCGTCATGGGATGGAGCTTGGTCGCAGACGGCTCTGTGCAAGCCGCCGAGGGGGAAGGTAGTGTGCAGAATGAAGGGGTGACTTGCGGGGGTTCTGGGGGCCTCGTCGCGCCAGAAGTGAAGACTGCTTTTATCTTTGGCATGAGTGAAGCAGGTGGAGCTCAGGCATGGGAAACTAAAATTCAAATTCAAGGAAGCCGAAGGTTGCAGAAAGGGATTAGGACGGGAGTGGGAATGAAGGGAGTGGTTGGGGTTAGCTGGGGCAATTAAGTAGGGCTAATGAAGTTAGGTCGCTTGATAGAACGGCAAGTGAGCCGACACATGAGACAGAAGTATATGAATGATTGCGGTTCAATTGCTTATCCATCTCTGAGTGGGAAATGGTTGTCTCTCGGCTTGCAGTTAATTCAGCCTGCCTTTACATTTGCCGTAAGGCATTTGCTGAGAAGGATCCAAAGGTTCGTGAAGGCGTTAATGAGGCGGTCATGTCAGCGCTGGAAGTTGGCATTCAGCATGTATATTTATGGTGTTCGATTGCTGTCCCTATGGGCCCCTCGATCTTTATGTCCGGCGGGACCCAGTATACCAGTAAACCGAGGACCTTTTCCATCTTGGATATATACAGTCCCAACCTGTACTTGCCAGGGGTTAAGGTCTTCGTTATTAATGGTCATGGTGCTCGGCTGGTTTACTGAGCATGGCTTGGCATCTGGGGTAATCCCGGGCAAACAGTTGCAATGATGGCTATGCCATTGTGGATTTACCCATGCAAACAGTCCTTTTACATATCTACGTATTTTGCTCGTGTCATATGAAGCTGTTATCGGTTCATCTAAGCCGCCCAAATGCCATCGAGCATGGTTCGCAGCTCGCTCACATCCATTCATACGTTCGTATTCTCCAGACCTCATTCATACATTGCGGGAAGTCGTTTGGCTTGCGCACCTCTGCTCAACGCGGATGCTGCCCACGTTGACTCCGCCCGCTTTTTCAGAGATTTGAAATTCAGTTCAGAGCAGTGAAGCCGATGATCGGGGCCTGCCTGAGTTCAGCTTTAGCCTTGACTTATATTGCGGATATGCTAGGAGGAGCAGACCAAGGTGGGGGAGGGTAGTTTGAAAGGTGCTCTGCAATAGCATCATCATAAGCGCGGTAGTGGACTTCACAAAGATACTATGAAGAAGCCGAAGTCGCGTCTTTAGAGGGAAGACGGTAGAATGGAACATCAGCCATTGGCCACCATAGATCTTGACCAGGCTTCAAGTTCGCCGGCAAAGTACTAGTCTATGGGGGATGGAAGTACCTAGAGTAGAGATAGTGGTGCATGCTGTCTAAATCTAGGGTCCAGAGTATGAATTCTACTACTGCTGCCGGTAACAAAACCAGAAGTGGAGGCATACGCGAAACCTGCTGAGAGGTAATTGGGTCCGTCTTTGTTGGCGCTCGTTAATTCGGCGGGACTGCACTGCAGGACCTTCGCAGAGAGATTCATAAAGCGATAATATATGATATATATATGTAGCTGTTGCTAGAGCATTAGTCCTCTTCTATGGTTTCTTTATCGAAAGCATTAGATCAAAGCCTGCTACTAGCTTAGGAGCACTGCCGATACTCTTTAATTGGATCTTCCAGCACTGTCGGTCATGCACCTATGCCATCCAGCGAAGCCACGGCAAGCCTCACCTAGTAGCGTGACACTGAAACAAGAAAGGTCCCAGATTCTGTACATAGTACGGAAGTGCTGGCCAAGCTGCATCAGCTCGGGAGGTGGGAGTCGGATAGCTGTCTCCAATTTGCGAGGCCCAGGAAACTAAACTTATAGGGACATGTTCAACCGCCTCAGCCACGGAGAGTACGTCCTCGGGCCGGAGCCCTCTCCAATACCAAATGGCTTGGTCGAATGCTTATGCAAGGGATGCTAAGCTCTCCAGTTATAAAATCGAATGTGAGATTGACGCATGCATTGTTAAAGGTTGTGATGGCATATTGAACAGGCAAATCAACGACGTAGAGCATGGTTCCCGACAGGTGCTCTGCGGACATTGGGTAACCGTCATTGCCCAATACCCGGCGACATATGACGGGTTATACATACAGATATCCGGAAAACGAATGCGGCCCACAACCAACCGCTATTCTCCACCAGAAGCCAAATGGCAGAATGAAAATGTGGCCCGGTTCGTGGGGTCAGGCTGTAGGGCTCGGGCGGTGTAGTCTGGTTATTCTGGCCTTTGGCAATGCCTGTGGACATATCTTGGATCAAGGTGAACGAGCCTACATCCGGAAAACGTTCGGAGCCATGCGGCCGAGTCCCGAAATTGCCACAGCATGTATTGGGCACGGGCTCGCATCGTCTCCTTGGGTGAGTCGGAGGTCTTGGGCGACGTCTGCTCGCTTGATTCCTTCGACATTGGTATAGTATTCCGCGAGTCAATCCATAGATAGTCCTCTTCTCATCTTTAATCACAAACCCTCCCAGTGTTTATTTATATTTCACTATTAAGATTTGCCTCACGAGAGAAGCATTCACCTGGTTTACTGGATTCTTGACCATCATGAGGGAATATCGTGTTCAAATATGGCACTGAGTACACAGTTGTTTTATTGCGGTAACATAGCTTGCGCCCAACATAGTTGCTGTGCTTCGCAGACATTGAACGAAAAGAATGGAGTAATGTTGGAAGAGTCGAATAATTGGCTTCTGGATGATTGCGTTCAATTGTCCTTGGCTACTCTTAAGCTCAGCATGATCAGTCGGGTCGGCTAGTGCCGTTACCTGCTTGAAAGGTCTTTCGTACTACTGTACATACATGCTGTAAGTATACTTCTTATGACTGTTTAACGTTATCGATCAATTAAAAAGTATATTTGTTACATCATGCTGCGCCGATCATTTCTATCTGAATAAGAAGCGCTCCAACGTTGACAAAAAGTGGGCTTGTTTCCAGCATAACCATCGCCCATTATTGGACGAGTCAGTTAGACTCGGTATCAGGATTAGAGCGGCCAACGAAAACCCGCCATCGGTAATTTGCCGATGCTATGCTCTAGTCTTAAGCATTAGCAGATTATTATCAGTATCCCTTAGTATACCTGCCAGCTTGGTTGTCATCTACGTTGTTTTGAACATGAAAGCTTACAACTCTGGTTTGCTATAATTACAGCTGGAAGCATGTGTTGAGTCTCTTGTCAGAGCATCTTCCGGAACTGGAGAAGCTGGGTCAGGGAACATATGCAACGGTTTATAAGGGATGGAATCGCGCAACGAACGAGTTGGCTGCGTGAAAAGAAATCCATCTTGATGCCGAGGGAGGAGTTCCTTCGGCAGCTATCTGGGAGGCCCCGTTGGTCAGATGTCTCATACATGAAGACTTCTGATCTTGCACGATGTGGTAAATGCAGAAGACAAACTGGTGCTGGATTTTGAGTACATGGATAAGGATTCGAAACACTATATTGATGCTCGAGGTAAGCTACTTGATACGACTACTGCCAAGTCTTTGGTTTATGAGTTGCTGCGCGGAGTTTCTCCCCGCACGAGATCGGCATTTTGCATTGGTACCTGAAGACCGAGAACCTGCTCCTCGATCAGAATGGACGGCTAGAACTTGTGGATTTCGGAAGGGGGCCCCCATCAGTACATTCTCGAATGGCGTGGCTACTCTGTGGTCCCCACACCCCAATGTGCTGCTTCGAAGTTGCAGCCACCACATCAGCACTGACATCTGGTCCGTCGGATGTATTATGGCTGACGTATACGGGCTCTCCTTTATTTGCTGGAAGGACAGAAAAAGACCAACTTTTGAAGTCTTCTGTATTATGGGATTACCAACCGAGCTCTCCTGGCCAGGGATCAGCCTATTGCCCTAATATAGAACTGACTCTCCGTTTTGCTCCTCTACAATGTCTGCAGTATCTTATATTGCAAACAGATCCTCGAGGCATTGACCTGCTGGGATGTATGCTGCAGTTATGTCCTAAGGCGCGCATTAGTGCTGCTGATGCCTGCAGCACCTCTGGTTTTAAAGATGTACCTGATGTGTTCCGGTGAGTGCATCCCAAACAGATCCTCATATCAACAAGGATCTTAGCTGTCTGTATAAAAAGAAAATTTATCACCGAACAGCACCTGCCATGATCTGACCTGGCCTACATTATTGACCAGGCTCCTGGGTATTGCACAATAAATAGAACTCACTGTGTGATGCAGTTTCTCGACCAGTGTCGGGAGGCTCTAGCCCCTGTGCCACCTCGACCATGGCGCTCATATAGCAGCACTTGTATGGCAGCCGAGGTCAAAGTATCAAAATGCACTAAGTTACCAGCGCAAATGTGGGAAACTTTCTTACCAACAGTGTCGCTGTCTAAGAATATCTGGAAACAGCCATTGAGGCGGAAGTTTCTGGAGAATCCGAACAGCCTACAGTCGATCGTAGAAGACACACCCTGGGTTAAAGCACAGTTCTTGAGGTACTCTCAGCGCTCGCTCCGATCGCATCCAGAGCAGCATGTAGATCACCCGGTAGGCCGATGCATGCATGATGTTCATTTATAAGATCAGATGTTCAGCGTCCGCCCACATTATCCGTGGTGACCGAACTCATAGCCGAACTCTGCGACCTCTATCGCGAGGAAGGCGTCATGCCAAATTAATATTCACCAGCAGAGAATAGTTGGTCGAGGTGAGTGGTCAACAAGGCCTGCCAACGTACTTAGCCCTACAAACACAAATGCGATATTTATGTGTGGTTCCATTAAATCATCGATAACTGAGTTCTCATATGAATCAGTAATCATGTGTATGACGGACCGCTACAGAAATGCGACTATCCCAAGTATGGGACTTTCTTGTGCCTAGTAGAGCGTTCACGGAAGGGTGGCGTGGGAGACTTCGGTTCAGTTCGGCCCGGTCCAAGCACTCTGAGAGGTCAACGATGGAAGCTGCTTGTCATGATAATAAGTTGGCCTTCGGCCGCGAGCCTTTACCAAACCAGTAGGCTGGGAAGGTTCTCGACGTGCTAGGCAGACGTGTGTCCAGATGTTGGTTATGACGTATGATTACGCAGTATGGAGACCTACATCAGCCAGGTAAAGAAGTACCTAACGTTAATAGTATGGCTTCCAGAGAGGCGCCATGATGGCAGAAATTGGCACGCTGTGGCTGCAGGATGGTGAAGCTTTAGAGCACCACGTCTAATCTCATTTAATCTTATCCTATGCGTCTTGGATTTAAGCCGGCCCATGTAGAAGATATCTCCGCTCTTTCCCCGAAGCTGTGGGCAACGCTTGACGATGGCCAGGCAGCAAGCAGTAGTGGTTATAAACGATACCGTGCAGGTCTGGATGGAACCGTCAATACCGATCCGATACCCTTACCACAGGAGACAAGTTCCCCATACGGAGGGCCCCACTGCATAAACCTCCAGACCTTTCGCGGCCGGCCAATGGTCAACCAGCGCTGCCAGACCAGATCCATTTGGTTCCTTTAGACTGCGTCAATAAATCCCAAGGCGACAGCGGCCATCCTACTCTTCCCTTATTACATAAGCAAAGAGCTTCGACCCTCCGGTTTGGTCACGCCTGGCCCTCCGCCTCCCCACAGATAATACTTTCCCTCTTTACACCTTCTATTACGTACCTTGCCTTGCCAAATCACCGGTGGACCGTTGCAACGCTATCCTGTCCTTGGGTCCGTTCAAAGTTAATCAATAATCATTACATGCGGCTGCTGCAACTGGGCTTTCGCATTGGTTCGACCCTCTGAACCTTCTATGCTTGATTACACCTTTACATTCATCCACACGGCCTCATTATATCATCGACCAATCTTACGTATTGTCAATCACTGATCATCGCAACACCGCACCGCAAATACAGGTATAGGCAGGACAAGGCACAAGAAAAATAATAGAAGAGGAAAGGACAACGAAAATTGAATGGTAAAAGGGGGAAAAAAGAGCAAAGCCAACTAGTTAATCAACAAAACTAACCTTCGGAACTGGGACTCGCGCATCCGTTACTCTTACTTTTCGCCTTTGTTGGGGGATATTCTTTTCGATTTCTCTGGCCAACTACCTTCTCGCGACCAGCCCTCCCTCACCTTCGTATGGTATATATCCGCAATGACGGCACGCCAATCATCACCTACGTCAGACAACTCTCGTTCGGACGGTAATGCTCGCAAGAGAGTGTGTAAGGCATGCGATCGGTGTAGATTGAAGAAATCCAAGGTAAGCCAAGTCATGGCTCAAGCATCAGCTTGCCCTGATGCACTGACCCGGCGCAGTGTGACGGAGCCAACCCATGTGCTCGGTGCAGGACAGATAATGCCATCTGTGTATTTGGCGAGAGGAAGAAGGCTCACAACAAAGTGTACCCCAAGGGGTGAGCTTGCACCAGTTCGACATATTGTAATGGCTAACATGACTAGATATGTCGAGATACTTGAGCAACAACAGACGTGGCTCGTCAATGGCCTGCAAGAAATGTACCGTCGCACCTTGAAGGGCGAAGGCTGGCCGGGAGAGCCCTTGAAATGCGAGGCCAATGGCCATCCTGTAACGCACGATTTGCTTACGCGACTTGGCGCCTTGGACCAGGCCAAGCGCGGGCGCTTCGAGGAAAACACAGATACCATGCAGCAAGATCTGTGGAGACACAATGCCGGACACATGCGACGCCAGGAGTCATCCGACGGTAGCTCAGAAAGCGCGCAGTCGCCCATCATCCCCTCCTGCTTCACAGATCCATTTGCTCGCCAGCTCTCATGTACGCAATCAAGCTTTAGCACACCGTCCCAGGCGCAAGGGCCCACGATCAAATTAGAGCCACAGATGGCACCGACAAATCCCGCTTTCGTTGCGCCCATAACCATGCAAGGGGTGGTAAACCCCCTCGCCCTACAGGCCCCGCAACAATGGCGTGGCGATAACTTTGGCGCTTTCGAGGATACGGATATAAAAGGGGCGTCCGAATACACGAATCTGCCCTTCAACGCCCAGGTCCCGTCACCCATGTTCAATCGCCAATTACCGATGAGCTGCATGCTCTCGCCGTATCTGGAATCTTAGGCGAGATTATGAAGACATCATTCGAATCTTAAATCGAATGCGTCCGAAATCGCGTCGACTCGAGTAGTCATTTCGATCCGACAGGATCCAGCATATTAGTGTTTCCGTTGTCTAACATTCTGTTTGCATACGACTACGATGGAAAGCGTGTACTCTATACATGCTCTCTTTTTTTTTTCCTAACATTTCGACCTTGGACTATTCTGAACGTACGGCAGCTCTCCCGTTCATCTAGCAAGGGCAATTGGCAAGCTGTAAAGTGTTGGGTTCTTTTGGGTGACTGCAATCACATCCTTCCTTTGCTTGCGGGACGGCATCCTCTTTTTGGGCTTACACTTTCGTCGATGACGAAGGCGCGGGGGTGTTTTGGAGTTGGAGTTCCCACCAAGCATTGGACGGGCTTCTGAGCGGGCAGTTGGTTTCCTCTCTACTTGGATCCTTTTGCGTGGAATCCACTACTTGCCGATGCTTGCTCTAGTTTCAAATGTTCTATATCTATGTCATCGTTTATGCCTCCAATATTTGAAATTACAACATAGTCTTCCCATTTTCTTCAGATCGTTGCTTGCAGCCTTTATTTGAGAAGTGGCCGAACTTTTGCCTAGGGCGCGCAGGGCGTATCGGCCAGCGGAGACCGACTGCCGAGGCCAGGAACCTTCTTTGCTCCTGATTAAGCCAGAAGACGTTCCAGTTTCCACGAGTGACTAAAACGGTGATGAAAGACGTCACTCACAAACCTGACAGCTTGGCCTTATCTCCGGCTACATCTGGACTGTTTGGGCAACTCACGCGTCCCCGGTTGGGATATCAGGAAGATCGTGACACGTCGAGTGAACCCTACTGTCCTCCTGCGACGACTCCAGGCTTCCCATTGAAGGTTGGGGACCTGATCATGTACGACAAAACTTGGACGATGGATCCCCATGCAACCACAGCCACTATCAAGCACGACGGTGGAAGACATTCTCTTCTGCCCCACAACAAAAATAGCCGGTATGTACCGTTCCGCGTGGCTCTGGTGGAGGACATTATGTATCGAGTCAAATCCGGTTATCGCCAGGCATTCTACAAAGGGTATTTTTGGAATATCCTGTTGTCAGGATGCATAGCAGGGGAGAGCTACCGTGTTTCCAGTTGCCATACCGTAACTATAGTATCAATATCGCACCAACAACATTGCGCTCCTAGCGATCGACTAATGACATACGGTGTCATGTTTTACCATTTAAAATTGCCCCGGTAGAAGATGGGGGCTTTTTGTCTGCGGTTCTGCTGATGACCCTAGTACGTTCACTTCACCGCGCGACCGTATTATGGTGTAGACGTAAATGTTTCCTCACACACATTTAAGCGTACGCCACAAAGCCCCAGACGTCCATGATAATCAATGTACCGACAATGGGGTTCTACTAAGCAGACCCTGTCTGGAATCAGTGATTTGGTGAGTGGTCGCGGCTCTGGAAGTCATGGCGATTAGTCTACTCCCATGTCAACGCCGCCAAGCAGGCAGGCTGGCACCGCAGACGGTTGGACATGATTAGCCCTACAATGAAGGTTGCACCTCTCGATCCTCAGCCATGAGCTACTCCAATTCTGTGTATGACCGTTAATTACGCAACCGAAAGCTGTGTTGCCCCTCACCATACCAGACGCTGTGACGCGCTGGCGCTGTGACGCTGTTGGGGTGGCTAATGCGCGCCCGCCTGACACGGCTCCGGTTGGGTGCCCTTGGGCATTCGCCATCGCATGATCCCAAGTTGCTTAATGACCGCCGAGGTCTGCCAGTGTAATCTGACATGTAACAGCTTACCGCAACAGAGCAGTGTTCAGCGATCGCGATGTGAGCACTGTAGCGGTCGTAGCCCTTCAACCTGTCATGGTAAGCATTGGCAGGACTCCACGGGGGTATCCCGCTTGGAGAATCTGTTCGCTGCGGCACCCCATATGTGCCAGCCTCAAAGGCTTACCGAGGAAGGGGGTGGAACTCTGCAGTCGATTGAACTGTCCATCAACCAATGAGCGAGGTAACTACAAATCCGTGACGGTCTGTGTTGAACGTGTAGGAATCGGACTGTCGCGCTGGGTCAATTGTCTACACCATTTGCCTTTGAGATGCTGGGATACACGGCCGAGTTGGCAGGGTCAACGCGCCGCTAGGATAAGTGACACGTTGCCCAACCCCTCTGTGTATTTGCTAAAATCGGACACCAGTTCCAGTGATGATGAATGCAGTGACAGTGGCTCCGCCAATGACTATGACACTGACCGCGATATTGGTTCTGATGCCGAGACGTCATCAGACAGTGATAATGACGGTTACGCGGAGAGCACCAGAAGAAACTTTACGCGGATGAAAGAGCGATAAAAACGGTATGCCGAAATTCCGTACGGCCGCACCGAAGCGTCAAGCACGCATCAAGTCCTGGCTAATGAATAGTCATGTATTGCCGAAGGAGGAAGAAGAAATACAGGGCGCTAGCACTACCAGACTCAAAGTAGGTTGACCCAGCGACTGTACTTCGCGATGCTGAGCAAAACGAATTGACTCAGTTCCTCCGTTGGTGCCTGTGATTGAGGCGGGAAAGAATGGCCGGCTCTCAAGCGTATCAAAAAATTAAAGTTTCTGGATATGGACTGGGAGTTGTTCCTTCCAACACTATAGGGAGCTCACGGGAGAGCCAATGGACGATGCGGTCGGTAGGCGAACGGAGGTAAGGATGAGCACCAGCCCCTCTTTTGGATGGATTGCTAATCAGCTTTGGCCCCAGACTATTCGAAGAATTGCAAGGGAGCATGCTTTCGACACAGATGAGAAAGAACAGACTCCGATGTTCATTGAAGATGTAGTACCCTTGCGAGAGGCCATTCTGGGCACAATGGAGAAACGGTTTCACCTTGGCCTTTAACGCATGCATCAATGCCTATATTTTTTGAGGGCGCGCTTTACAGTGAATCGGATCAACATTATGCGGTATTTCCAACTCTATAGTGCTCCGTCTAAGGGAACACCTAGATCCCCCTTAAGATCGAGTATGAGTTTGGCAAGATATATATATGGGCTTGATGCAAGTGTACGTAATTCCCTGCTTTCTTTCGGCAGCCCTTCCTGTCGAAAATCCCGTTGCTGACCAGCCGCTCAAGAACACATTCTATTTACCCGTGATTAACCCACAAACCGTCCTTGATTCTAAGCCCCCACGCATTCCTACTGGGCGTTTTCTTTCATAATTATGCGTTTCACCCCCGGGATGAAGTCAAATGGAAGACCTCCAACACCTGTTCCTGGACGGTGGCTGCCAGCAGATGCCTGTCCTATTTCAACGGGATAAGGCTGATTACTACATGTGCTGCCATGTCGAGAGCATCTGTAGCAAGATTCACACTTGTTACAAGCAGCCTATCCCACGGATTACATTATCACGGCAGCTCGTAACGTTTGGCGAGATTGCCGGCTTTATGTAGTCATTGTTCACGCATCAATTTCAGTACAGTGGCAACACCATCCTTAATAAGAGTAGTAAGACCTGGCGCATGCCTATAGCTCCCTGGGCTCCCTTCCTTGACCTGATACTAATGCAGAGCGATTAGGTATGTTAGCGATTATCAACAATGCACAGCAGAAATTAATCATAAAGCAGGCGAATACCCAACCTTTCTGAACCATTATCTTCCTTAATAAACCGGCACCGATGTGCAGGCACTGAGGAGAGGCCTTGAGCTGGATTATGCAATGTCGCAAGTCATAGTTACACGGATAGGATGATGGATTGGCCGACGCCGACCCCAAGAATATACTGATGCGTGAAAAGCCACAGTCGATCAGGATCCAGAGTTTCAGAGAGCCATTTGGAAACGGGATGCAATTAGCCGGAAGCTTCGGCGTCATTGAAAAAGACTGGTCAAAATATTGATCGACTCACCAAGCTGAAGAGACAGGTCACGAATACGCGGAATCGACTGCTGTATGCCCTCCGCCAGCGTGCGGGAGTGGGTGACGGATAAATCCAAGCCACAGAGCACCTTCTTCCACAGCCAATATACCTCGTAGGCGAACTGATGATTGGCCCAACTCTTTGGCAGTAGAAGATAAGTGGCGAAGCCGGAATGAGGAACACCGAGGCTGTACGGCTGTACGGCTGTATTGTGGTGTCCTTGAAGGCGGCCCGCGACGGGGCGACGACCAAAGCAAACAATTTCCGTGGGCGGATTACCCCTGGAGAAAAGTCATAGGCAGCCAAGTCGAAGCGCTACGGGGGATTTGCCCACAAGCATCATTCGCAGCCAGTATTGGCTCCGTGTGAAGCAGATTCAGCATGATCTTTGCTCCAGTCTAAGACTAACTTGGAGTATTGGCGGACATATAAAGCCTGTCCGGTCCTCCAACTCAACCTACAGCTCATACGCTGCATATTGGACAGTCGCTTGATTCATTTCACCATCTCTCTCTAATGCTATTACTGTCACTTCGAACCACATATGCCCCCTTTCTCGAGCCCGGCTGTTCCACTCCTTAGAGAATTCCGGACTTTGCCTGCCCGACCACCCTCCGAATGTGGCTGAAATAGGAGGGCTGCCAACGTTCTCAGACCCTCCCCCTGGAACAAGTTACGGCGAGGGAAATGACGGTATTTTCTCAGTATATCTACGGAGCCCATTCGCAGGGAGCCCTACTGAAGTTGATACTTTCAGTAACGCGGGGGAGGACTCGAATGTTTCCTCACATGGCTCGCACCGTCCAGGAGATAGTATCGGTAAGCTTCGGCACCACTATGGTTTTAATAGCCGCTCTAATCATACATGAGATGACACGACGTTCCCGCTGCTACAACTACAGTAGCCAATCATACAACGGATGTTATGGATGCCTTTTCAAAGAGTCGCCAGCAGAAGGAGTGCGCCACCGACGATGAGCAATGAGTTTTCCACCCTCACTGGTGTATTCTGTTACTAGAAGTGTACAGGCCGCTCGCTTGAGGAGCATTATGGATGCAAGATATGCTTTTGTAAAGTGGTAGACCTTGTGTTAGGCTGCGGTCACGTTCATTGCTCTGATTGTTCCAACAAATTCTTTCACGATTCCCTGCTCTCCAAAGCTCCGGGAAATCCCAAATTGGCCTTCGTATACCTAAGACGACATTGCGAACCATGTTGCCCATTCTGCAAGAAGATTCTTCCCCGCTGTTTCGCTCGTCCAGATAATCGCGGTCCTCTACTTTTCTGTTGAAGACTACTTGGTGCGAGTATTAAATTGAGGATGCTGTGATTCCAGAATACCCTTTTATGGAACTTTGGTGGACTTTTTATATGGCGTTTACTTCCTACATCTGCCATGCGATGTCAGTCATTTTAAAGGCATTCCCTCCAATCTTGGATTTAATTATCATACCCAAACACGTCGAGTGTCGGATGTTACATAATAGCTCAAATTGTTCCTTGGCAGGCGAGAGATAATGACTCCCACATCGGATATCAGTGTCTGTCGGCCCAGGTAGCACGGAGTCTTACCAATGGTGATGTGGTTAGAGATCAGCTCGGTTAATTGAGTCTCAAATTAGACCCGAACCAGTCTCAGTCAGCCCAAGAACGGGAACAACCGGAAACTAGACCTCGCCAAAACGCGGGTTGGGTTGGGTTTTCATTTTCTGAACCCACGGGTTACCCAAGCTACCCAAAGTTTGTATAATTCAAGCATAATTTTGATTAGTCATTGCATGTAACGTAAGCGGCAAGCGAGTCGGCCACGTAAGCGAGTCGGCCACCCTCCCGCTAGTAGATCATCATTCTGATTTATATACAAAAATGAAGCTTTTTGAACACCTAATTCAACGCTTTAAAGAGCTCTATCCCAAGATACTGCTCGATTAGGACATCTAGTACGCATATGTCCTATAATATGACACGCGCTACACCTAGGAGGCGCCCGACGGCGTGGTTGATCCTCTCTAGGACCTGTATCCCCAGCTTGTTCTTCCAACACTCTAGCGTGGTTGAAAGCCTCAAGCGCTTCTTGTATAGTGAAGCCATTCAAACCATCCATTTGATGTTGATTGCGTTTCTGCTTGGTGGTTCTTTTCTCAAGAGCTTCACGTAGTTGGCGATTTTCATGCTCAAGTAGTACTGTATGATTCAAAGCAATCTCCGCGCCTTTAAAAATGTGCGATAAGGCTTACCGTATTGGTGTAGATGGTGTATCTTGTTGTTGAAGTAATTGAGATAGTGTAGACTCGTACTTCTTGAATTGCCTCGAATTTCTTGGTGTTTTTGTAAAGATCGAAGAAGAGGAGGTGCTTTGACTGCTCGGACGGCTGGTCTCTTTGAAGATCATATTCTCCAGTATCTTATTTGGATCTAGAGGAACAAGATCTGAAGCTCTAAAAGCGCTTTGTATATTTGCTTTAGTAAACGCTTGAGCATGGGCTTTCGGATACATATCAAGAAAATCAACCTTCTCGATATGATGATATCTTGTACGGATAAGCTGTTGAACTTGATCTTGATAAGCCTTCTTTAAAGGCGAAAAGCATGCAACATCTAAAGGCTGACATAGATGTGAGGAATTAGCAGGCATACAGACAGGTATAATCTGATTTTGATAACATATGTCATCAAATTGAGGTGTTAGATACGAATCATGCCCGTCAAGTATGAGGAGGCTATATTGGCCCGTTCTTCGTGTTTTGATATAAGGAATAAAGTGATCTTTAAGCCATGCTTGACCAATCTCTCGTGTTGTCCATCCATTTGGTGATATAGCGATTCTCCAGGAAGATGGTAGACTTCCTTCATACCAAGCTTCAATATGTGTTTTGCTTTCAACACTAAATATGCTGGCAGCACCCATCCAGCAGCGCTGATACATTCAATTGAAGTTATCCATTCGCGATTCCCTGGCTGTATAAGAAAGGGTCTTCCTTGACATGTTGAGCGTGTAACAACTTTAGTAGTGCCTAGAACACCCATAGCAAAGCCAGATTCATCAAGATTATAGATATCTTCATCGACAATGCCGTATGTTGATATAGCGGTTTGTACGCGTCTGAACCACATCTAAATAGCTTCAGGTTCTTCACATTTTGCTCGTTTGTAGTTTATTTGACGGCTATGTCGACTTTTCAAAGAATCATGCCTTGAAACGTAGTTGGTGACCCATTTTTGTCCGACAGAAATAGTTGTATTTTGACCGCGCTTTTGAAGTAGTAGATTTGCCATTTCACGGACTTGAGAGTGCTTTGGTGGTGCACCACGTTGATCTAATGATATAATCCATTTTTCAAGCGATTCTTCCTCTATAGAGGTCAATTTATGTGAGTTGGCTCTGAAATCCTTGCGAAATTTGAGTCCATTCAAGCGATCTTGAAGTGTTGATCGAGGAACTTGAAAAATACGTGCAGCTTCACGAACAGACTTTGTATGATCTTTCTGAATAGCTTCAACTGCTAAGCAGAGTCTGCCTTCTTGTTCCACCCACTCTTTTGATGATTTAGGCATTTTTGGTGGTGTAATGGCTGTTTGGATAGCATCGCTTTCGGAGGCGCGGACGAGTTTCGATGGGTGGCCGACTCGCTTACGTGGCCGACTTGCTTGCCGCTTACGTTATTTTTGGTAATATGACAATGTCACAGGTTACGACTTCCCTGTCCTCAGCAGAAGTCCTGTTCAGATATATATAATCATGGAGCGTCACTCCATGAATATTTGGTGTAGTTGACACGCACCCCAATTTCCGATAGATGTGACGCTTAGACGGACTTATGTTGACCTTATGGACTCTCCCCATCTATTCAGCTCCATTAGTATCAAGGACTATCTTATCCAACTGCCACATTCCCTGATAATTCTAGATGGGTTTCATGGGTTTTTTGGGTCCGACTGGGTTTTGGGTACCCGCCCATACCCATTTGTACGGCGACGCGGTCTGACGCGCCACTAATTCAATATATCCAAAATTCTTAGTGAGGAAAAAGAAAAGAAAAAAAATCAAAGATGCGAGACAAGAAGCAGCTCATCATCTTCTAAAACTGGAAATTTTTTCTAAGCCATCCATATTCATTGAGTTAGAATAGCAAAAACCGCCAGCCATTTATCATGATCTCATCCAGTTCTACTTCAGTGAGATTTATATCCTTTCTATTTAGCTTTCTGACACTAATTAAGACGCTCTCAGACTCTATTTCTTCATCTAATTTTCTCTTCTTGGTATATTATGGCTCTATTACTCAAGCCTATCGATATCCTCAAGACCTTGAACATAGACTGACCTGGACCGAAGCCCTTTCTTAGTCTAAGACAGAGCTATATTTTTTCTCCGGGTGATTCTCCGACTAGCCTTAAGTGCATCAGTCCTGACCGGAAAAAGAAATGGATTCTATACGACGTGGATTATGAAAGCGTTTTTTTCCCATGGTGGTTATAGACTGAGTACGGGAGACAGCTGAACAGAAATAGCAGATCTAAGATCAGGTGGTCAATCGAGACGCGCTTTACTGATATTTGGAATTACTTTAATCAGGTGGCGGAGATATATACAGGTTGCCCAAAGATTATCTGCAAGTCCTGTCTGATCTTACTGGATCATCCGCATCACAAGTCCCACGGCACAAGTGCTATGGGAAGACACCAGAAGTCAAGTAACTGCTAAAAAGAAAAAAAACAGATAGCCCAGCAGACATTTATTAAAGACTCTATTTAACAGCCTGCAGCAACTATAATAAATAGGAATCGGGTTACGAAGGATCAACTAGAAGAGCAGCTTTTAATAACTATAATAAGTCTGCGGCTCCCTTTCCGGGTGGTAGAGAATAGTACTTTTTAACAACTATTAAATCTGATCCACTCTGGTACTGATTAATTAGAGTTCCTGTCTGTAAAGATGCTTTGTCACCGCTTGCATGATACTGTGGTTGAACAACATACCTCCCAACTGAACAATTTATCTGAGGGTACTAAAGTATCACTTGCTTTCGATTGTTGGACCAGCCTGTTTCAGCAGGCATTTATGGCAACCACAGCCTACTTTATCAACAGTGATTGGAATTATCGAGAACTTCTTTGCTTTGAGGGCTTACACGGTCCCCATTCAGGGAGCAACCTGAGCGATGTATTGCTGGACCTATTACGAGATGACACCTCGTGGATCGAATCTTTACGGTGACCACAGATAATGCAACCAATAATGATACTTTGATCCGGGGCTTGCAGGATGTATTGCTTGCCACAGGTGCAATCAACTCTCGCGACTCTATTATTCGTGTAAGGAAACTGACTCGCCGCAGGGCAGGAGACGACTCCACAACCGGTTGTGGCCTGGGCTGGCTCAACCGTCATAGCGACAATCTCTGTCTCTCTTTTATGATCGTACATACAACTCCCCGGTTCGGGTTATACAAACTCGCCTGTTTCAGGGAGAGGAAAAAGTAAGAAAAGCGACATCTCTTTCTGTATGAGCCATGCGACTTCAATCCGCATTCATTTCACTTGTTGTCTTGGCCAGCCATGTCTCTCATGAAAGCATTCTCCGTCTCGATAACATCATCACCCATGGTGGGGAGACCTATCGGAAGGAATATCCTTCCGTGGCCTACTTTGTGAACTGGGTATGTGTACCTTGCCCCGCTCAAGAGAATATCCACCCTACGTATCTTCCCTAGGCAATTTACGGTCACCGCTATGACCCTCAGGATCCCCCGATCGACAACCTCACCCACATTCTCTATGCCTTTGCCAATGTGCGACCGGAAACGGGCGGAGTCTACCTATCTGACCGCTATGTGGACATAGAGAAACATTACGCCACCAATTCATGGTCCGATTCAGGCAACAACTTCTACGGCTGTAGCAAGCAGCTCTACCTTCTGAAGCAACGGAATCGAAGCCTGAAGGTCCTGCTGTCTATCGGAGGCTGGACGTACTCTACAAATTTGCACAGCCAGCAAGCACGGATAGTAGACGGAAGAATTTTGCGCAGACGGCGTCAAGCTGCTCCAAGACCTAGGACTGGACGGTTTAGACATCGACTGGGGTGTAAGATGCGGCTCTCTTATCGTTGGATGCTCTGCTCATGACACTGCGTCTAGTATCCCGAAAATGACCAAGAGGCCAACGACTATGTCCTTCTACTGAGGGAATTGAGACAGGTGGGTCTGGACTTCGGAGCAACCACCGCATAAGTCGTTAAGCTTGGACAGGCTCTAGGGGAATACAGCAATGTCCATGCGGGAGGGAAGAAATTTCTGGTCACGGCTGCATCCCCTGCTAGTATGCCAAAACATCTAGGAGTAATACAAAATGTGTGGGCCTTTTACTAACTCTGTCCTGGCAGACGGTAAGAGACTCAACGTCCTCCATCTCAAGGATATGGACAATTTGTTGGACGTCTAAAACGTGATGATCTAACGCTACGCTGGCCGGTTCAGTGCCTATTCCTCCCGCCGAGCTAACGTTTTTGATGACCCGTCCATTCCAAACAGCACGCCCTTCAAAACCGACCAGACTGTCTAGTAATATATCGATGCTGGAGTGACCACTAATAAGATTGTCCTCGGCATGCCCTTGTACGGGCGATCATTTGTCGCTACCGATAGACTGTGAAAGCCGTTCACCGGTGTCGGGAACGGATCCTGGGAAGCAAGGGTCTCGGATTACAAGGATCTGCCGCGCCCGGGTGCCAAAGAATATGTGCTCGACCGTGCAGTTGCAAACTATAGCTATGACCTAACTGCCAGGACGTTGATTAGCTATGACACCCCACGATCCGTCGAGCAAAAGGTTCATATGTCGCTTCAAGGGGCTCGGGCGGGGGGATATGGTGGGAGAGTAGCGGCGACAAATCCGGCAACAGTAGCCTCATAGCGACGGTACGGTTCACCCTAGCCCTAGACGAGCCAATGTGTTGATTATACCCTAGGCAGTCAACGCTCCCAGACATGCAAGGTGTCTGGAGCGAAGCGCAAATGTCTTGGACTATCCGATTTCCCAGTATTGGAACTTGGAAAACGGTATGGCGTTACGATAAAACACCCATACCATGGTCATATCCTCCATCAAATCCTACGGCATTTGGCCCCTAGCCATAGCGTGACGATCAAGAATAGTGGCGCTACTTCCGTATTGCGCCGTAAGATGGATCTCTTTTCGCCTGCACTTTTATACTTCTCTAAGACACTCTCTCAACAGTCTTATCTACTACCAACTGGCACGTAGTAGGGCGGTATAGCGGCAGTTCTGGTAAATTCTCAAGGACTAACTGATTGTATTGATTATTACCTTAGTACTTTAAGTGCTTAGTAAGAAGCTTAGCAAACAAAAAAGAAAAAGGTAAAACAGCAACAAGTTATAGATTAAGACAATTAAACACTACTTCAAGATCCAGGCCATTTCACCAAATAGAATGGTACAATGGGATATTGAGACACGCTACCAGGGACAGCAATGGCCCGGCTAAGTCAAAACCAGCAAACCGCAGTGATACAACAGACAGCACCCACAAGCCACAAGGACTCCTTTCAACCTCCTCTTATCTCATGCTTATGCGCTCCGCACTACCTCCAGACAACGAGACACGCTAGAAGCATCATCCTCCGGACGCGGGCGCCCTATCTCGCCCTTTGGCCTCTCCAGGGGGATATTTAGAATACGAGGTTGGAATCTCGGCTGCAACTCCTTCTTCATACTCCTTCTGCCCCAGAAATATCCAACCCCCATCATAGCCACGGCTATGCATGCTAGCGGTATTCCAACTCCGACTCCAATCGCAATCTTCTTCGGCTTATCGGAATTGGACTGGTCCTTTTCGCGGCTGATGCTGCCGCTGCTACTGTCACCGGATGGATTTACAGTTCCTGTTGTCGAGGGAGCAGAGGTAACAGAAGTATCGGAAGCAGAACCGGACTTGGAACTAGAATTCGAATTGGAATCTGAATTGGAGATAAACTTGATGAGTGCCGAGTCTAGAGTGAATGTCTCGTAAGTGTTGCAGCAGGCAGCGGTACTACCGCAGCACCAGGAGCCGTCGCCGCAGTTGGTCAATTGGTAGGTCCAGTCTGAGTTTCCACCATTCTACCGGTATTATTAGTTGCTCACAAATTTGCTGCACAAAGTGGAGACTAACCTGATTGCCACAGATATCCTTGGGTAAACAATTAGTCGAGTTCCATGATCGATCCGTGCAGAACTCCCGATAATATGCTCCTTCACTCGTCAGGCAAAGTCCCGAGGGATCACACGTATCAGGATCCTCGGCATTGAGTTTACAGCACATTGAATGTACACCTGAAATGGAGACGCATGGTTGATAAATGAAGCTGGCCACTTGTGATCCATCAGGTGCGTAGCATGACGATGCTGTCGCTAGAGAAATATAGCTTGAAACGAGGGCCCAGAGAATGTGCATGTTTCTTTTCGTTGTGGCTGTCTAACGATACCGTTTTCGAAGCTGAATAAAACACGGCTTTCAGAAGAAAGGGAAGGAGATCATTAATATAACTTGAACAACGTCTAGTTTATGGCTAACTACGGCATTTCAACATACCCTGAACATTTGTGTAACGGTGCGGATTTGCCAACCGGTTAACTTGTTCCCGTCCAGAAAGTTGTGGAGATTATCTGACAAAACCCCTTTGAAATATAAGAAGAGGAAGGCTCCGACCGGGTCCTTGCCTCCAGCTTTCTGTTTTATGGTATGGTGGTATCGACACGGGAGAGTTTAACAGGATTCCTGGTTGGTGTACCTTAGCATCGAGAAGACGCCATCAATGGCGAGCCCGATCGGCAAGGCGGGAATGCTATTGCGTTATGCAAAAAATGGAACAGAATTTGTCAACTAGGCCCACTAGCCTGGCAAGCTCATTCTAGGAGGAATACTCTCCTGCTAAACATGTTATCTTCCACTTAGATATACCTCGCTGCTATGTTAGCTATGACTGACCGGCACGGGGAAAGGGAACCTGGATACCGAGAGACCAGGGTTAGAGCTGGAGTGCACGCAGGGCATGTTAGGTTTTTCACAACAACAGGAAAAGGTTCCATCAACAGTGTGCTGTAAGGCCCACCCCTTGGCAACCGTTGCATGCCAGGGCGGGCATGCAGGTGCCCAAGGGGTGTTTGGAGTGCGGGACCTCGTTCCCAGATAAACCCCTTGTTTCACTGATAGCCACAGATGGAATTCCAATATTGTTTTAAAAACCATGGAAGACACGCTAGCCAAGGGCTGAAGGACGGGAAGACACATTTATCACTAGGGGGCACTCCTTTCTGCATAACAGATGCAGGGGCTTCAATCCTACAAGAAGCGTCCAACCCCTTCGTAGCCGCAGACGTCTTACTAACAGATAGACTACTAAGGGCTTCTAGGACATTACTGTGTGACCTATCTTAATAAGTGGCCCATAAAAGTCACCAAAAATTTTTGGCATGAAGGAACCATATACCATTTGTTTTCCCCCTCCTAAACAACGCCCAACAAGGAACATGTCTTTGCCTCCCCGAAAGCAGGCGGGGTGCCCTCAACTGCCAAGGCCCGCATATCATCGTCACCCATCGCACCACCCCGCCCCTTCGAGACAAGGTAGGCCCGGAATTTCTCATCGCGGATTCTCAAATTATCCCCGAAATATCCGGAGTGAGGAAATTGAACCACCAAAATGCCCACAACACCGCGAATAGCTACAATAATTAACGGTACATTTTTACCCGAGTTATTCTCAATGGGTGTGAATGCTTGAGTACCAATAGCGCCACCTACTTTCCCTACAGCCGCAGACCACCCATAGCAAGTACCCCGGACACCGGTGGCATACAGCTCCGATGAAAATAAGCCGAGCATGTCCCCCGGGCCGAATTTGCCGGAACTCTGCATGAGGCTGTAGAAGACCAGGAAGAGGGGATGATCTTGGCGATTTTCTCGTATGCACAGCCAATAATTAGACCCAAAATGAGGTAGCCGCCAAACCTACCATCATTATGTTTTCGCCACTGAGCTTGTTATAGAGGAGAGCTCCGAGTGAGACACAGGGGAGGGAGATGGCCCCGAGGAGGAGTTGCCATTCACCGGTTTTGAGAACCGAGTCGTCGTCGACCACAGAGGAGATGATGGTGGCGGAGAAGACGCCGTTGGGAAAAGTGATGAAGTCTGTATCGACGGTTAGATATGGTTGGTAGACCAGGTGATGGGAAAGAGTACGGGCCGTATAGGTACCAGGCACCACAAGTTCCAATGAGCGACTTCCAATAGTAACAATGTACCAGGCCATATGGAACTTATTTCTTGATGGCTCCGCGACGATAGAGCGTCGAGCTCTGCATGCGCCATCGGATGTAGAACACGGACAGGGGCCAGATGCACCCGAAACCGGAAGCAGACGCGCTGGACGGTGCTGTAGTGGGATGGCTGGCAGGCTGAGAATACGACCAAGGAAACCAGAACAGCAAATGGGCCACCAAATGACAGCTGAAAGTTTGTCAGCATGATGAAAGCTGGACCACGCTGCTTCAGGGTCAAGTCATTGGCGTTTTCGGATGCCGTCGAAACTGAAGAGGGAGGATATTCACCACCAGTTCCTGAGATAATCAGCAATCATAAAATCAACGTAGTGATGGACTTTATCACTGTACCGAAGCCAATAATACCACGCGAAACGTTCAGCATCCAGAGCATGCCGTTGATACTGACACCGTGCGATGCGGCGCCTAGGATACCACCGATTACGATCATAAGTGGTGAAGACCATAGCCGCTTTGCGCCCAATGTAGTCGCATGGCAGACTAGACGCCAAGTTAGCAGCTTCCCTAAGAGACGAAGGATGGCAATGAATTACCCGGTGACAATCTGACAAAGATTTTCTCCAACAAGCAGGCATTTGACACGCTCGTGGAAATCGCCGAAACGTACTACATGGGGCATTCTGTTTTCTATAGTACGTAGGTCATTGTCCTGAACATCATCAGCGGGGTACATCGGCACATCGCTTGCCGGGCAAGTACATTAGGTTATACTCATAGCCATCACTGATCAGGGCAAATCCACTGGCGAGCTGGAATAGCAATCAGTAAGTCTTCCCATGCAGATATGCAATCAATGTAAACCTGCTGTTAAAGAGGGGAACTGACAATGGTCAAAAAGTCGGAGAGACTCTGTCTCTTGCGGAACACCTCAGCTGAAGGTTCAGCATCGGAGGTATCGACGGCCTGGACCTGTGTCTCCAAGGCCCAACATCCTTCGACTGGGGGACTTCCCACGAATTCTCAGCAGACATCGCGATGGCACGTAAAATACGGAAATACCATCGCACGGGTGGGCAAAGCTACGTGATTGACCTACGTGCTCCATGTCTTGCCGGTCAGGTACGAAACCATCTGGCGTAAGTTGGAAACTCTGGTGGGCGACATCGATGGTTCCTAAAACCCAGGAGTCGCCATCTAGGCCATGGCACCCCGTTATCGGCTCGTGGCTTCTCTGTATATATTGAGGTGAAGAGAACAAAAACAATGGCTGGGTTCCTTGCCTACCGACGAGTCTGCCGTTTCCCGCTCAACACCGCATTCTACAGGTACTGCAACAGCGCTTGGAGCGCTCTGCGTTCGAGTCTATCCAGGAATGGCACCCCCAACTTGGCCAGGCTAACGGACGGGATTATGCCGAGCATGTGGAATTGCACATGGCGTTCAAAGCGCTGGACCGAAAGCGTTATACCCATTCCACATCTGGATTGTCGAAAATTCCAAAGAAGGGGGTAAATCGGTTGCGAGTCGACATTGAGGGTATCCGTCATGCAGCCATACACTGTCAACTACAGGATTACCATCGTCTTTTACAGCAGGTTCACTCGGCCCGAGAGTTTGCAACCGTATGGCTGGGCGACCCGCAGTGTGGGGGGAGATTGAGCAGTGCCAAATACAGATCAACCATCTTTTCAGCAGATAGATAGCACGCACCCACCATCTCCAAGGCAATCTTACTGTGCGCATGGGATGTAACAGGATACCTGAAGACAGACGTTACCAATTCCTTCTGCGCAAGGCGACGCGGAGGCTCTTAGAGAAAACCAATCACGATTGTATTGAGCAAGTGGACTACATCCTACAATTGAGCTTCCCGCCATTATATACAAAGAAGTGAGCAGCGCATGCATGATAAGGGAAATAGGCATACCAGCCTAGACGCAAAGAAGACAGTTGCGAGAACACAAGTTTTGAATGTTTTGAATAAACTATAGATTGTGTTACTCCTACTCTAACACAAATCAGCCCCGCAAGGATGAAGATCTCTGTTTATTCCAATATATGGCCTCCAATTGACTCCTGATTCCTCCAGCCACTTGACAAAGAAGGTGATAGAGCACATCCTGAACCATGGGTTGGCTTTTCTTTTGGATCATCGGTGATATGTGACTGGAATTATCATTATTAACCATCTCAGTAAGCAGTGGAGGATCTGGTACATACCTATGTTTCGTCGAGCGCACAGAATACAGTGGTGGGAGTCACATAGCAGATGTTTTGTGACAGAATTAAGGCATGGTTTCCTAGCGGTCAAGTCAGTCATAACTTAAAGTAGTCGCAGCTGTGTATGTGCGATCTCACGCCACTTAAGTCGACGTCTTGCGGGCAGGGGATGCCCGTTATCTAACAACCCAATACATCTTTCGCGATGGAGAGGATTGTAACACAGGGAACGCGTCCATAACTAGCCATGGCCAATTGGTAAACTTGAGTTTAAGAAGAAGATAGGAACAGATTGGCAAGACTGTAGAAAAGTGGCAATACGTGCGAACAATCTGGAACGGCGCCTGGCCTAGATATAAGTCTGATATCGGTGAAAGATCCTTTTCACTTCCATAGCTGCAGAGTGATGCGCGCGTGAATTAATATTCAAAGAGCTGCATAGTCCCCTCATATCTATACGGTGGCCCGCGAAGACAAAGAACAATCATGCGAATGTAGAACAGTGTAGGATAGCGGTGATTGTTCCTCAGAGCAATCGTCAGTATCCCAGGAACGAGCTTGTCAGTCTTGGGAGCCATCAACTTCCGAGGGCCCCTAGGCTAAAGCTTGGAAATACCTGGTGGCGTGTGTAGCTTAACCGCAATCTTGTCGGTAACAAAATCTGTTGCCCACCGAACGGTTACCTGACGAGCCAGGCTTCCCTCTCGCACCACTATGACCATGGTGCCCCGACGCTTTCTGTACAGGGTTGACTGAGCGCCATCGAAGAGAGGTAGCTCTGCCAGTACTGACCTTTGCCGGTCGTCGGCTTGCCCGTGTACCAGCCAGTGTGTCTGGCTATACAGCAGAACAGCGAGTCGAACATCGGGGCATTGCGAATATGACTGCGACGGAGGTTCCACGGCCAGGCCCAGCTACCAGCCTGGGCAAGCGTCATTCACCCCAGTCCATCATGGTCAGAAATGGCTCAGTGAGGGAGTTCCGGGGTCGACAGTCAGTTGGAGGGACGCAGGCGCTGCAGAGCGTCTAACTTCTCCGGTATGGCATTCCGATCCGCCGCCTCGCTGGGAATTAACCTGCGCTTTGTGGATGATCGAACGCAATATCCCGCCAAAGAGGCCCGCATTCGGCTGTGGTGGTCGATCTTCCTCCTCGAGCATCTCCTTACAGCAATCACTGGCCGGGTCTCTTACGTGGGCGAACGCCTCAGCGCCACGCTATTGCCCATCCCGTTCGAAGAGACGGCCTTTGGCAGACCCGACGTCCTGCCTCTTTGCCATGACTCCGCATTACGCATGAACCGTCTCAAGCCCACGCTCCTCCAGACGGAGGAGGAAGCGCGCGCCAGTGTGTCCTGGCTCGCGTCCTGTGAACCCAGCCCGTCTCTGTTCTTTCACTGTATTGTGGACCTAGCCGCCATCGCGCAGGACATCGTCAGCAATGTCTATAGTTTCCAGGCCCTCCACGACTGTGGCAACCGGATCGAGCAGGGGATTCGAAAATACAGCGGCGTCCTAAATAACTGGCTCAGCAAGGTTCCCGAAGCCTACCGATTCATCTCCGTGAACGGCGATCAAGTGAACATCCCTTGTGACGACAACACCCGGTGTAGGCGAGAACGGGTTTCCCTAGCCCTGAGATACTATAGCACCTGTATCATGCTTTGCCGCCCGTGCCTCACGCGCGCTAGTTCGCCACAGAGACCTCAGTCTCCCGATCCCGCAAATGCCCAGCATTCGCATCCCAGCTCTCTCCACAACTCCAGCAGTCGCGCGCATTTCCGATCCACCATGGCGCTCATGTGTGTCCGCTCCGCCCGCTCGCTCCTTTTGTGCCTTCCACAGACACCAAACATCATGTGGATCACTGCAATGACTCCTTGGTGGTGCATCCTCTATTACATAATGCAAGCGACAACAGCTATCCTTTGTCACCTATCCAGCTGGCCACCCGGGCCCAGCGGACACCCCCCAGCTCGCGTCTTCTCCGATCTGGAGGTCACGGACAGGGAGATCAAGAAGGCCATGTGCTGGCTTCACCACATGGCGTACACAGATCCTGCCTCCGGACGCGCGTTCCGGCAGTGCAACAGCGTTCTGCAGCGTATTGCCCCGAGCCTTGGTATCGACCTCAGCGATCTTCCCGATCGCGGAGACTTGCCTACTGGTGGGGGTGCGTCACCTCTGATTGACGGCGTTAACGAACATGGGGTTAATCAAGCTCCATCGGCTCCCTTTTTTCAGCACGACCGTAGATCGGACTTCCCTACATCACGATCGACCCTTACTGGTTAGTAGATTTGTTGCTCCCTATAGACTCGGCCAAGCGGGGAAACTGCATCCAGCTCATGGCTGGACCTCGGGAGACTCTTTGCTGAGAGAATAAAGTGGGTTCTAGATGTTCGCATGCTCAATGAAATCTAGCAACACCTCACAAGCACTTCTACATATAGCTTGGCCCCAGCAAGCCGTTTCCGTATTGCCTAAGTTCCCGTAGCCTTTTGTCTGCTGAGTTTCCTGGTCTGAGTAGGTGTTCACTGAGGACATACCATTATATCGAAGGTGGGTCAAAGTAACTACCGGCCACCCAATAGGAGAACAATCGGTCGCTTCCCACAGGTTGCTGATTTGGATCGAATCGAAGGTGCTGAACGATAAGTCGACGACGTTTCAGGAATAGTACTGGCTGCAGGAGCCTGAGCAGCTACGATTATGATGTAAAGTGAATGCACTGTATTTATCTACTTAGAAAAGGCATGTAGACATCAGTATAGTACGATATGCAATCGGGCTGGGCCGTTATGTGATGGTATATGTCAAGTCTTCCGGGCGACAGCGAATTATATCTGGCTTAAAAAGCGGAAAATCGAGAATTCCTACTTACTATTCGACGTTCAGCATCTCCACTCCGTACCCTTGTCTAGCATTCCAGCCGTCACCTCGGGGACGATTTCGCGCAGGGAGAATCAGAGATTTTAATGAAGCTAGTCGATTACTGTAAAGCCCTAGATAGGCGACCGTAGCTTGGAGGTTACTGGTGCACAGTCTCTAGGTACGGCTGTTGAAGAATGGATCTGGCGAGGTTTCTATCCAGTCGTACGGTCACGAGCGACATCTCGGCTACAATGCCGAGAACTCATGTTGTTACAGCCGTTATTGCCGGTAGCGACCTAGGGCTTATGATTGCATCAGACCTGCAGAAATGTACAGCCAAAGTAACACTTAGCCTTTTAAAATATGAACCACCTATGTATTGTCCAAAAGCTTCATTTTGATGGTTCGCGTGGGATTCTAAAGTGGAAGGCTGCAGACCACCCAACGGCCCGGTATCTCAAACGCTTCGGTGACCGGTTTCATTATCGCTGTACGATTGGACTCGAAATGCTCTTTTTCCCTTCTATCTCTAAGAGCCCAATCCGGGGAGGGGGACAGTGCTATCACGGTTAGTTCCTGTTGTCTTGGATACTTCCGTTCGTGAATTTTCTTCCCCCTTGATGCGGCTCCTTCATTCCCTCTCATCACATTCCATATGAGAATTCCCGGTATCCATGGTGCATATTGCACAAACAGGCCTGATCGGCATTCCAAGGGGAGAGGAAGGAGAGAGGAGAGGGAAACGAACACAGAGTAACCAAGCTTAAAAGTATAGAATGAGAAATATACCTAAACAAAAACCAAAATAGAGTAAAGCTAACGCATAAGAACCATCCAGGTAAAATATTGCAGCGATTTAGATTCACCACCTGCTCGAACGGCGATCGGCTTTCACAACTAACCTCCCTAGGCGTCCAGTGCGGCTCTGCACATCGATCGGCCAACGTGACCCTGTCGCGGTCTCAACTCGTTGAACCATCCAATTTATCTTATGCCACTCTTTCATCCTCGTGCTTCTTCCACCCTCTACTTCCCGCTGCTGTGAGTGCTAAGGATCCATCTATCGTCCAGGTAAGTAGCGAATCCTTCTGATGCTGAGGCTTTCCGGACGACATCCTTATATGGAAGCTTGCTTTCTTAGGCTGGATCCATTTTTCTAGTAGGTGTAGCTTCTACCAGCTCGCTACAGTATCTATTCCGCTTCCCGGTCGAGTGCTGATTTATTGGTGGGATCTACCATAGTATAACTCGACGGCTACCGCAAGGACATGCTTGCAGATAACCTAGGGCTGAAGGAAGTAGTGAGAAGTGTAACAGCATAAGCAGACTTCCGGACTAGCTAACGTGCAGTCCTCCCTCCAACAAGGCGTTCTCCTCTCCAACCAATATCCTAGACACCACCATTGCCGCTCCCTGCTGGCGCAGGTGCAACTCATCACGCAACCTTGTCGTCGTGTACCCATCGTAGGAGTGACCCTCTCCGCGACCGGACGGAGGCGCAGTCACCGTCGGCCTCTACAGGGCAGGAGGTTCCAGATGTTTGGGCCCTGCATGGCTTAAGCAGAACTAACAGGGACCCTTGGCTACCATTGCCCTCCCAAAGAGTCTACCGAAAGTCTCATGCGGCGGTGGTGATGCTTAAAGGACCAGCCTTTCCTGGATTAAGTCGGTTCAACAAAGCTACCCAACTCCTCGACTGCTCCGTGTCACTTCTCTTCCCAGCCCCTCTTCCACCAGGCCCCAGTTCAGGGCAGCGCGCCTGAGAAGGAGCGCCCCTTCCATCATCCTTTGCTGTAAAACTTCCCCATCTGTCACAATTCTGTTCGGGCTTCATTTTTCTGTTAATATTCAAATTTCTGTCTTACTTCTTCTATCCTCCTTACTTTTTCCCACGGCCCCTTTGTGCCATCCTTTCCGGGTGGCCCACCAACTCAACCGCGGGAGGAAAAAGGATTATCTTCACTCCCATCTTCTTCACGTATATCGTCTCTCCTTTGGCGGCTTTCATTTGTCTCGACCTATTTTGCCTCCACCTACTCCTTTACTCTCTCCTGCCAATTTCCCCATACACCTGCCATGGAGGCCGCTCGCGAACAGACACGGCTTGGTTACATGCCGGCGTCCCGTCAGAGTCGCATGGCAATTGATTTTATACTGAACCCATTGACTGACGAAGAGCCCGCCAACTCCAGATTCTAATACAGCTATCGTGGACCCCAGCTGTCGCCACTATACTCCCCCAGTCCTAATCAATACTTCTATTCTCCCTACTCAGACGGGCACCACCCCTACGCAGAGAGTCCTGCATCATCCCAGGATACAGCATTCATGCCTTACTGGAACCGATCATGCCAGTCCTCGCCCGGGATATCCTTCCGGAAGCGATACAACTCTGTGTCCAGCAGCTTCAGCAATACAGCGGGGCGGCGACGGCCTCCTCGACCCAAGTACAAGGAAGAGGAAATATACTTCATCTGGTACCACCGGGTGGACCTCTGCCAGGGATGGGAAGAAGTGCGCAAAAACTTCAACAAACAATTCCCCAGCCGGCAGCGCTGGGGAATCCAGGGGATCCAATACAGATTCTATCGATTTATCAAGAATAAGAAATGCCCGACCCTGCGGGAACAACAGCACCTGCGGAACGGCGGCTTCATCCGTGCGCGAGCGGGCCTTCCTGACTCGGGGTCTCTACGATTTGGTGTCGTGGACAGGGTCGGGATCTGGTATCCCTGGATGCGCGAGAGCACAGATGAAGTGCTCAGCGGGCGGATACGTCGGTGATGCTACCGCCTAATAAACCATTTTGTGTTGCGTTCCATTCTTTGAAAATCCAATCCTCTGCGACTGGTAACTACTCACTCACGGCTATTCGAAGATACCTCTCTGTTTAACTTCATTTATTCTTCTTTCCCTTTCCATTTTCACCTTTCATCTTCATTTCCCTTCTCTTTCTTTTCTATCTTTCCCATCTGACATTTGTAGTCACATTTCAGCACTTTGGACGTTTACTTGGGATGTTCTCGAATCTTCGCTTGCATTGCATACATTGCATATACTTATAGTTGCACCCAGACTTATAATAACCAAGGTTGGATAGTCGAATCACTTTCTCTTTGACTGCGTGGGTTACGGGGATCGGAATAGCTGGACAGACAAATGGGACAAACCCGTCAAGCAATCAAATCCAATCCAAACGACTCGGTCTGAAGCGTGATTGTACCACTTAATTTCCCCTTTTGAACGGACCTTTATGGAGTTTGTCAGAAAGACTTTTGAGGTACTCTCCTGTTCGGGCATTTTGGTCCGATGCCCAGGTGGATCCCAAACAGTACGGGATGGGACGTAATATAGTGTAATTTGAGGATACCCGGTACTATAGAGACATACTTTCCTAGACAGATACAGTCTAGACGAGTGAATATGACTCGCCACGTCATAGGATTGTCAATCAGGCTTCAGTATAGGCACAACACGAACCTATTCTTGCATAGGATAGTCAAGAGCTGTTGGAGAGGTGAGCCGCGAGTAAGGATAGCGGGAAGTAGCCCGGCAAGCGATGACGGACCCAGCATTATAGCGAAATCAGACGAAGAGGTAAAGGGTGGTACAGGTGACAGGGATGGGAAGGGAGCGGCTGCGAATATGGCAACCAGCCACGGCGGAGCGAAAGCAATGGAAAGGGAGAAAGTCTATACGAGCGTGGGAAGGAGAAATGCAATGGAGATCAAAATCAGAAGGCATGCAGCCTCGACAGTAGACCCATAAGCGGACTGTGGCTCTGGCCAAGGTATGGAGACCAAGAATTGCATCCTTAATCATGCGTCTAACACAACTCCTACTCTCGTCGAAAGTGCCGAAACAGAGGCCCTGCCATCTACTTCCTCCTTCGAAACAGATGAGGGGACTATCGTAATGGTGGACACCGAGATCGTCTCACCTTGTCCATCATTGTCGATGGATCCACCGGTAGGTGTATGGTGGAGTTGCTCTATGTCGGTCCAGTATGCCGTTATTGCATCTGTTATACGCCTTGACAATCGTGAGTTCAAGAGGCGCGAACCCAGCCAATCAGAATCGATGGACATGAGACTGAGGCGCTATTCGCTACAATGACCTTAGCTTCTGGGAGTACGTTCCGTTTGGCTACGTAAAACCCCGTGCTTACATGGATCTGCTGTGGTCTACTGGAGTCGTGGGGGCTGCTTTTTCCATGATGCCTAGCCTCTACCCTTTCCTTTCCTCTTTACTACGGCTGTCAGCTGGCTAATTGTGGCTGATTAATTGATTACTTCACGAGTGTATGTATGAGTGTCATCTTTGAGGTTCTGGCGGTGCAGATATTAGTCCGTATGGTAATTGTATGGGGCTAGTTTATCCCAAATATGTAAGGCAGACATTTAATATACTCAGTATGATAATCATGAACAGCCTTCTTTATGCGGATATTTCGCTGCTAGTGCCCTGGCTCTTAGTGTTTGTCATTCTTCATCTCTCACGGTCCCTTATTAAGACAAGTTATGTTCATGATCCTGAAGCACGTGCAGTCCTCGCCATCTGCATGACGAGTAGACTTAACCAACAACTCGGCAGGCAACGTTACTCTTGTGGAAATTGGCATTTGCTGACTTTTGCCACCAATTCTCCCATAAAGCGCAATATCCTGTACAAAAACGCCAAAGCGCGAGTTTTCTGGACTCTACTTCGCTTGTAGCATATACCACAGTCGTATCATTGTAACATAGCAAGTGCTGACTGCTCTACATCAACTCCTACATGGATCGGCCTGCTAGAAAAGTATCATGCGGTCAGACCTGTTAGACGTTGGGCATATGTGGGTAGGGATCCAAGACCCTGACCCTAGAGCCTGCAAACCTTATTAGTAACCACTACTTGATTAATATAGCCTACTTCATCTAAGTGACTTTGATTTATTTCGGAAATGTGCTACGAGGAAAAAGTCATTCCGGGACCTGCTTCAACGTAAACTTGTTTTCAGCTTTGGCAGCCGCTCATAGCTGCTTCTTCAACTCCCTACGCCCTCCTTGTGTTGTACAATAATAGAAGGCTAAGCCATCAGCACCCGAACCTTTATCAGGACTGTGTTACACAACCAAAAACACCCAGTCAATGGAAGCAGGCGCTTCCTCGCGCCCGATTGCTCGGCCCCTGGGACATACGATATACATCCAGTCACAATATATTCCATCTGTAGCATACCCTGTTCCCGAACAGTGACGTAGATGACACCGCGAATCCTCTGGTAGCCCAATCCAGTTCGCTTCGGACAATAAGTCTTGGCGTCGGGATATTTCTGGTTCGGACTGATTGTTTGTCCAATACTCCCTGTTCAGATGCGTTCGGCTTATGGTCTGCTCGAAATATACCAATTTCGGTAACGGGTAGTGCATGACAGACCCCCAAAGTTTGCCCGTCTGGTCATGGGTTGGGTAGAAGAGGAGATCTCGCAACGATGAGGCAGCCCAGCGAGACCTGGGCAAAACAGAAAATATCGGAATCTGAGAGCACGATGGGCCGAAAACGGGCCAATCATCCGACAAGATTACCGTTCTAGGCCTCGTGATGAGCTTCATGATAGTGACCAGGTAGGGTCGTGTTGTGTTCGGCTGAAGACACAGAATTTCCCGCTGGTTCCCGGAGATCCATTTGCGACACACAAAAGGCCCGGTCAATTCCGATAGGTTCTCACCGCGCATCAATACCTGAGTCCCCCAATTCGGCTTTGTCTTTGGCTAGTATCATGATTCGGCTTCAGATGAAGAGGAACTGACCAGGCCGGATGCGACCATGCGTCTTTCAGAATGTGATGGTCGCCCTTTGAGGTGCCCGATCGCTGTCTATGGGAAGACTCGGTGGGGGAAGCTGGATGACTTGCAGACCAGGGGTAGGGCAAATGAGGCGGGTGAAAGAGAAACAAGTCTGGCGCGGGGGAAATGGGGTAGAGAGGGCAACGATTGGTGAAAATATGGTCAAAAGATGATGAAAGATGGTGAAAGGATCACCGAGTAGATATGGTCGAATAATTTGCTATACCGTCTTCTCCGGAAACGGGTGCGTGCCATGGGAATCTGCTCAGAGGATGCAAAATTGCCCAGGCGAGCACGTCTTCTCTCCGCCTTCTGGTCTCTCTCTCTGCGTCGAACGTTGTTGCCTTGGGCCATCAACATTTGCTGGGGCTCGGGAAGGCCCGGAATTAGTCCTCTTGAGGAAGCTGTCCCGGGGTTCAACTTGATGCCCGCCTAAAGAAACCGAATGCGCACTGAACGAATATTTTGCCCTCGAGTTTCGACCTCTTGGCTTAGTGCGTAACGCAACGAGAACAACAGGTGAACCTACTTGCTTCTTCTTATACTGTTATCCTAAATTACCGGACCAGCGGGCTTTGTCGCTCGGGATTGATGGTCGTTCGTATCAAGTCTTTGTACGTGAATGGTCAATGATATATACACAATGACCGACATCATCCACACTAGAGTGTCAGGCACCACCCGGCCTTTTACCATTCCACGGGACACATACAGATCAACGGGCCCCCAAACCTGAATACTTTATGAATGCCTGAAGGGATCTGTGGTCAAAACCAGTTTAACAGGTCCATATGATTTAGTTCATCAGTAGGGAGTACAATTAAGTAATTTCAGTCTGTCGAGCACTGCCGTTCTGGGCATAAAGTTGTTCAGGGCGGACATGATCAATGAGAATTCGTCCCTCCAGCAGCATTCCATCCGGAAGAAACGTATTTCCGGTTCAGCCTTACCAAAAATGGGTGAGAAAACAAACAACTCCCCTCAGCTCAGAACGAATTCTGAAAAATTTCTCGTTAATTTGGAGCTCAATTGATCTTAAACCTGGTTCAATCATTAACCAGGCTTCTGGCTATCGCCCAATACCCAGAAGTCATGGTGGTGGAACTATGTGGCCAGTGTTGGGGATCCAGCCCCTGAACCACCTCGAGCATGCCACGCAAATCATAGCCGAGGCCCACAGCATTGCTGGAGCTCGACAGCACCAAACGCGCCAAACTACCAGCTCCGACTTTGGATGCTTTCCTCAACAGCGTGATCACCTTAGCTAAGAAAACCCGCGGGCAGCCATCTAGTCAGGAGATTCTGGGAAAGCTAAACAGCCTACAGCCGATTGTAGAGGGCATCACTCTCATCAAGAATGCCGTCAACAACGTACTCGCGTCACCCGCTCCCGTGAATGGCTGGTTCGACCGCTTGGGGAATGAGGAGATGGATACAGGGTGTCGGTATTGATACGACTGGTTTCTTTTCGTGGGATGGTAGGCAGAGAGTTATGCACTGGAGGTTTCAAATCTTCACCCCAGTCTTACGAAGAAGTCAGCATTCCTGAGCTTCAAGCGACACTAGAGGATATAGCTTGCCTCGATTGCGGGCAATCTCGAGCCCACGGGGCCTCAACTTGTCAATTGCCGTGTATAAAGCTTCCGTCCATTCTGCTTCCCCTGATGGTTTCCTGACGAGTTCCTTAGATTTGCCCCAGAGCCTCTCAGAGCCTTGTATAGATCATGATCATTGTCTGATATGAGAAAAACCCTAATATCCATGGGAATGTCTTCATCGACGCAGATATCTGCACGCCGGAGAGGTCCGCGTCGATATCGTGCATCACATGGTCTGGATGGGCTGCTGGACCGCGACCGTTGTGAAGAGCGTGTGGACGAAGGAGGGAGTATAGGGATATCTGATAAGCCGCTTATTCTCTGCTGCGGAGCCATATTGAGAAGGGCGAAAGGAGAGACGGGGCGTGTGTTTTGACCATGCTCCTTGGAAGCGTCAGTTGTAAGGCAAGCGGTCTTAGGAATGCGCTTTGAAGATAAACATATGGGGGGCGCAAGAATGTGAGCGCTTCATTTGTGTCGATGCAATCAATGACCTCTGGGCTTGAACGGAGGTCAGATGTCAGATGCTTCTCAGTGAAAGCGAAAGAGAGGATGACATGCCCAAATGCCAAGACAAACCCAATGTGACCCACTGCTGTGACGTACGGAAACTCAAGAAGCTGTGCGGAATTTCTAAGGTAATACTGGTGAGAGAAGGCTAGTTGAAAATTCAGTACATCTTTTAGAGATGGTTGGAGTCAGCATAGAGGCACTGGTGACTCTTAACTCAAATTAAGTTTATTGATTTTGGTAGTCGGGCATGAGTGCTAATATATGCATTGCGCACCCCTGCACGGCCACTTTTGTTTCTACCTATGAAATACTGGAGCGTAGATGAACCCAAGACGCAGATCCCCGCTATCCTACACAATGGATAAACATGTTCTCCCCACTCACTCCTCATGCCTACCTTTATCTTATAGATATCTTGAAAGCTATACCATTATGCCATTCAAAATGCGGGAGAGTACTAGCCTATCCATGACCAACAATCAACAACTTGACCTTCCCGTAGCTGACACGCGGAACAGTGGGGTCAGGAGACTATTCTTGACCTTGTTTCTGGGTGACGATGCAGAAGTCAACTGAGACAACACTTCGTCTTATGATCTCTGGATACTAATATTGACTGAGTCTGCATCTCAGCCCAGATTATAGTGACTTAGAGATCGTTTGCAGAGATAAGATCTTCCCGGCTCATAAACTACTTGTTTGCCCCAGATCGGAGTATTTCCGCCGGGGGCTTGCTTTGTCGGGTTCAAGGTGAATCCAGATATAGGCAACTCCTTGCACTGAGACTGACAAGCCGCTGGGGATGTTAGGAAACCAAAGAGTCGATTCGTTTGGACGAGAAAAGCCCAGTCTTAATTGAGAAGGTGCTAGAATTTCTGTACACGGGCAATTACACCCTCGGATGCCGTACGACTAAAGCGGTAAACCAACCGACCGATGACGATGAAGAACCAAGGATGAATACAGATCACACAAGAGAGCCGTTGATACATTTTCCGTCAAGGAAGCGTGCCATAGATGGGCATGCGGCAGAAATGGAGGAGCTCGCCAATGAAACTGCTGTAGCAGCCGTAGAGAATACAGCGGATGGATTCGTTGATGGGTTACCGATGAACGAGAGACTAGCTCCAAATAACGAATCCCTCGAGAAAGGTTCAACTGAGAAAGGGGATATCGTGGAGCCGGCCGTCGGTATATTGGCTGACTGTCATCCATGCTACTTCCATGTGCGCATGTATGGCGAAGCGGACTACTTCAAGATCAACGATTTGAAAATCAAAGCAAAGGGAAAATTTCTTGCATCTTTGATGAAACGTAGTGAAAAGGAATTATTTTCAGAGATAGTCGCGGAGCTCTATTCAACACGAGCCAACTATGGAAGACTAAGGAAGCTGGCGCTCAAAGTGATAGTCGATAACTTGCCGAGCCTTAGAAAAGGATTCGCCCCGGTGATTGATTCAAGCAAATTAAATCGGATTCTGATTTTGCTATTGTCTACCGACAATGGATAAGTACGTGGGTGAGCCGCGCATGAAACCATATCCATTCCCTACGGGTTTTGAATACAAGGGGGTCGACTACATGGTTCATCCGGGGGGACTGTAGATCTATCAAGTTAGTCATGGAACGCTCCAAACTACGGTGGTACACTTGCTTGGAGAATGCAGCTAGGATATTCTTCTGGAAGACTTCATATCAGTAAGGTACATTTTTACTAGCCTGGGCTTGCAGCTAGCATGCACTTGTCATAATGTATACTAGCAGCTACTGGTAGGTAGCAGAGGCTTTGCATTGATCCAGGCTAGCTGGCAGTATAGGTATCGAGTAAGCGCTGTCTGCGCTTGAAGATAGCCTGTATCGACAACTAGCCTGAGCTTGCAGCTAAAACGCGCTAGTCAATATCCTGTGCTAACATGTACTGATAGATAGCTTATCTTACATACTAGCCTGCACTTACCGAAAGCCTATGCTAGCCAGTATTGATAGATAGCGATCCAGGCCAGCAAGCAGTATAGGCTATCGAGTGCTTACCCACTATCTACGCTTGAAGATAGCTTAAACTATTTCTAGCCCATTGTAGCTAGCCTGCACTAATCGATAGCTTACGGTATCAGCGTTGTCACGAATTGATATCCAATGTCACGTGTAGGCCTCGCCAAATCGCGGGTTGGGTCCCGACCCTCAACCCAAAACCCGCCAAGAGAAATAAATGACGATAATATATACGCAAAAAATTACATAGATATACTTATAAAAGATCCAATATTTCGTTCGTATTTCTGTAACATATGAGGTTGTGGGTTCTTGGCGGGTTTCCGGTTAAACCCATGGGTACCCAAAAAAGCAATATGGCGAGATCTAGTAACGTGCAAGCTATCCACGTGATTCACATCAAGAGATGTATCCAGATACTTTTCCCTTACACCCACCCATGTTCTGTTGCCAGACCCATTAATAAGTCCCAGATAGCCTACATAATACTATGTGTTACTCAATATCCGATCGAGATATCGCTACGGACTTTGACACTCAGGCCAGCGTTGGCTGGTAGGCAGCACAAGCGTATGTTCATGCGTAGGTTATCTTCGATTATCTAAGCCACTAGAGTTCAGACGATCGTTGCCTCATAAGGAAAATGTTTTATAATGCTTGGGATGAGAACACCGTAAAGCATGTCTGTCTCCAAGGTGCTGCCCTATCTGTTGGTATTTAATGCTATTATTATCGTGGTAATATCAGTTGCAAATGTGTGTACGCTGGTATGTTGTAAATTCCTTAGCTTGGGTGTCTACGCTCTGAATCCAGGAAGTTATTGTTGTAATATGAGGCTGGTGCAGATAAGGAACCAAGCTGGACCATCGGAATTGATCCCGAAGTATGTATACGAAGAATCAACTTGATTGGACTTGATATTCTCGTTGTATATATAGCCTCATGTTTCCCTCTGAATAATACCAATCAAGCTTCCTTTGAACTACTAACAACAAGCTATCTGGACCTTTCGACGTCCATGTGAACAGCTGCTTGAATGTGATATCCATACTCTTCCACACAATAAACGAGTAAAGCAGATGTTTTGGGCTGCTCCTAGTGAAGATGTACGAACTGGTCTTGTTCCTTTAGATGGAGATCCTCAGGCTCCACATGGTGTAGTGGAAGATTTATTCGAGGTCTTTATCAAGCATGGCTTCCACAAATCGTGACTTCAAATCATATTTTCATGCATGATAATGCTCCTGTCCATCGGGCCCATATCCTACGCGATATACTAGCGGACATGAATATACAGGTTATGATTTGGCCACCTTATTTACCTGATTTGAATCCAATTGAGAGTCTTTGGTCGATTATGAAGCAGGAGATCTATAAGCTTAATCCTGAGTTAGCATATGCTTCTGATACTGAGGAGACTCGTCAACAACTTATACAGACAGCAAACGAGGCCTGGCATGCTGTAGAAGCAAGAATTTTAGAGAATTTGTCAAAATCTATGCCACATCGTGTGAAGGCAGTCATTGAAGCAGAGGGTTGGTATACAAAATAATGATTTTGGAGGTTTATGTCCGGCAGAATTGATAATTTAGGAGGGCGGTCTGTTTCTGGTCAATCTAACCATCTTTGGGCGTTCCAAATACTCTTTGCCTCCCACTGTAATCACTTCATATTCATTCTGCCGGCAGTAAACACCAAAAATTACATTCGCTCCATGGCCGCTAATCACCGCCGTACCCATTACTCTGGGGACCCCGGGTTGTGGCCGCTCTGAGGTGACAGGCGCTGGAAATCTAAAGTTTAATAACCTATCCCAGGCTGTGTCAGTGTCGATTATGTTGTGATTCAGAGGAAGGTTCGTTGTTATTCTTCATATCTGAGAACATGAGGGTTTATATACAAGATGAATATCAGATTGATTTCTAATCAATCTGATTCCATATGGAATAAATTCTGTATACGAAGCTCTATTGTTTACTTAGTCGAGCCTTGATTCACAACAGATCAGACACTTTCCTAATATAGTATCTATAATGATGATCTCTTGAAGTGGCCTTAAAGTTGTATTCACCTGGGCAATATCCTGGACTGTGATTAGATAGCATGACAAGGACAAGCCTGCTCTAATTCAAGTACTTATCTCTGTACCCATGTCTGATCGCGGTTGGCGTCCCCGCGGAGAATATGATGTCATGGTATTGATCCTAGGTTCATATTGCCGATGGCTGTAATTTATAAGATATTATCTTAGTAATTTATCTAATTCTGTTGTCTTATTTCCGCCTGTTATTATTAAGCTAAAAGCTGAATCAAGCTGTAATGATACTTTGTCTAATAAACAGAGTCTATGAAGGAGAATATTTCATAGAAGTTAATAAAAGTAAAAGATATATATACCTCCTTAGCTCATGTTATATATGTTTTTTTGGGGATACTACTGGAAAGAGTAGGTATCATGGCATAATAAACTATTTATAGGAATTTATATGCTATTAACTGTAATAAAGGCCCGGAACTGCAGCTTATATATTTTATTAGTTAGTTATTTTTGCTGTAGATGACTTGTGTTTTATAAAATATTCAGATACTAAGACTTATTTCCTACTTCTTTGGCTATCTCTAAATTAAAGCTTTTGCTTGATACTGAATATAAGTTTATAAGCTAGGAGTTTGTTATATCTTAATACTTTATATATTAACAGAAATATCTGCTTCTGATTAATTATTAGATAGATTAGCTCAGGGCCTCTGTACTTTACATATTATATACCTAGCATTTCTAGCTTGTCTTACATGTTAAAGACTTTAATCTAGTACTCAGGAGTGTGTAGACTCTTTTCTAATCTTACTAGCCAAAATACTGAGATACCGGAAGAGAGCTGGCGGGTGGAATCTGCCATAACTTTTATTTCAGTAATGGTATTTCTCTGGAGGAACTAAATTAGCAGAGAACTAAAAATTAATCTTAGTTCCAGAGGCTGAATTAAAATAAGAGTAAATAATAATATTCTCTGAAAATAAATTACTTATTAAAGCTGCAGACTCTGATATCTTTTATATAATATTAAGTCTGTCTAGATTCTTTTTCTTTGCCTTAGTTGGTGTTTTTGACAGTGATTCTAGACTTAGGAATTTTACTATATGTGGTCAAAGGCACTGCCAAATATGATATAAGAAATTATAATATAAAATAAAAGAGAAAAATGCTTACTGAAATTCCTTTTATATATTAGAGGAGCTTTACTATATATAAGAGATAAAACTATATTTGTGTTAGTAAGTATACTTCATAGATGCTATATTATAATAATACAGAGCATTCCGGAGCCTTGGTCCCGTGGCATGCAAGGGATAATATTACTACTTATAATCTAGTTAAATTCTGATATCTCCAAAGAGGGTCTTTATTAGCCAGATAAAGCTGGCACCCGCTATTTGCTTTATTAGTCATTAATTTTGATAGGTATAAATAGTTTTAGGATTAGGCATGCATATAAATAAGCTTAGAGAATATTACTTTTATAATTATTTTTTGCTTATCCTCTTTGGAGAGTTATTCAGGACATGTAAATAATTAGGTTTTTAATCTTTACCATGTGCTTTATAATCAGGTAACTAGGCCCATTAGTGGGTGCTAGTATATAAAAGTAATATCAGAATATCTTACTGGAATAAATTATAGATTATAATATAGGCCCTTCTAAGAAGCTGAATGATAAAGATATGAGTATTATTTATAATTACTTCTGATTCTTGGACCGGATCCGTGCTATCAATAGCTGTAATAGTTCTATAAGCTCTAGTGGACATCAATTGGGGGTATGAGAATCCAGAAGAATTAAAGAGCTATAGAACTTGAATTATTCTAGTTTCTGGATTACTGATCTCTGTTTAGTAATCTTTATTATATAAATCTGTACTTGGTGCTAAAGTTCTTCTGCTTCCAGTGTTTTTTCTTTTCTACAGACAGCTTATATAGCTAGTCCTGGGGTATAAACTGGCCTCCAGTCTTTTTAATTTGTCTGCTATAAATCAAATATTTTAGTAGCTCTATTAACAGAATATTTTTCCCGGGCCTGAGAGTTATATATCTACTGGTTTTCTTTTATTTTCTTTTATCTTTATATATAAATATATATATATTAATCTTATGCCAGCTACATTCAGGATTCTCTGCTATGGAGATAATATAGAATTATTATATGTTAATAAATTATCTGTATATACTGTTGTAAGCAAAGTACTTTTTTAGAAAGTAGATAACAGACTGAGATATCTCTGCTAGATATATTAAATTATAGTTATCTTAATAATCCATGAGTAAATCATTAGCTGAGGTAATCTTTTACTGGATAAAAGCTGACTCTTTATTAATATGCTTTATAAGAATTTTGAAATATAGTCATAGAGCACAAGGGCTGGTACTTAATTACAATATTTAGAGATATATTCTCACGAAGTATTTAATATATCAGAGACTGATAGTAAGCAGGTACAACTAATAGAAATAATATAATATAGATATACAGATACTTGTTTATTTTTGATTATCAGGCATACAGCCAGTATATTCAGCAGGCTGTGCTGGAAATTCGCCCGAGGTCCTAGATTAATAATGAGTGAAAGACTGGTTTTGTAGACAATCCAGGTAATAAGATAGAGAGTACTTAGACAACAGATCTGAGTAATAAAACAAGCATAGTTATATAACTAATATAATCTCACA